TCATCGGCTGTAATAAATTAAATAACTATGTAGATGTTGCCTAAATGACTAGGCTATAAATGAGCATATACCCACAGATATAAACACAGGAAAATATAATAAAATAAAAGCAACCAAACATGTATCCATACATATAACAAATGGACTGAGAGCTGCACTGACTTAAGTTCTGTTGAGTTTTATTGTATTGTCACCTGCCACCTGAATTTTGTGTTTCCCTTTGCATAAATGAAAACATTTCCACCATAAATTGATGCAAGAAAGACAGAAATTGGAGCAGAAAAATCACCAGAATGTAGTTTAAGGGAGGACCCCCCAGACTTTCATATGTTGTCCAAATCAGATACAGGTCAGATTTTTTAAAATGTGACCAAGGTCTGGAAAATCACATCGGACATCACGCTGCTCTGATGTCACTCTAGAGCGACTGTTGTCACAATTTTGCTCTAGCGGGAGCAGCATCTAAACACACAAAGGTAGCAGCCATTGCTCCACAAAAAGCCATAATTAAAAATCTGGCTCTCTTTATCTTTCTCCTCCTCGTCCTTGTTATCATTATATATTTTTCTTTTGTGCATGTGGGTCATTTTCAGGCCGTGGCCAGTTCACACTGGAGTGTGATATGGGCCACATTTAAAAAATGATGTGAACAGTCAATCAAAAAAATTGTATCTGGGCAATAAATCAGAATTGAGCATTAAGGCCTGCAGTGTGAACGTAGCCTTAGTTGCAGCCTCCACACTTCAGAGAGTCAATCTAGCAGCCAACGTTGGCTCGTCTCAGCTCTTCTGGGAATTGCTTCTTAGCATCTGGGTATAATAAGAGTTTGAATTATTTATCAAATTTAGTGTGCATGAAACGTCCACCGCTCAATCTGCTGTCACAGCGCTGCGCTGAATAAGTATGTGCACAGCTAATCAAATTTATTTGTGTTGGAAGCAGTTTAATTTGATAGGATACACCTGAACAAAGCTCGGAAATGCTGGTCGGGTAGAGAATATTAAAGCCAATTGAATTGGGTACCAACATGCTGTGTGTTGATAAATCTGAGGGAGAATGGAAGTTGGAGGCAGAAGTTTGAAAATCAAGTGTTTCCTGTAGTATTTTCAGTGTTTGGATGCTTCTTATTTTCAGATGTTTGTGTGCTTGTCTTACAGTTCGTGTCGCCTCTTCGTGTGCTGGAAAGTATTACACTTTTAGCCTTCCACTTGAACCAGACAATGATTAGCTGACATCTCATGTGTTGCAATCTAGACAAATCCTTCCTATCTAAAAGTTGTGAGGATGGAAATCAAGAAGAGTAGCTGAAACATCATCGTGTCCCAGGAAATATGTAAATCTTCTGAAAATATGTAAATTTCCTGGGACGCGAAGTCTTCATTCTGGAGCCACTCTTTGAAGATTACTAAATTATCCCACATGGTATTTATTGACTGTATTACTTAGGTAATCCAGAGTGGGGATCTAAATTAAATGACGAAGACAAAATGTGTGAGCAATGCAATGCCTTTTGGAAGATCAAAGATTTTAGTTTTAGTTGGCCGGGGTTGTCAAGCTGCATTTATTCCACATATCAAAGACAAGAAAAGGATGGCTTTGTCACTGACTGAAGGTCTTACCTGAATCAAGGGTTTGTAGCAGAGCTGGTGTGTGGGGAAAGTGCAATTTTATTTGAATGAATAAAGAAAAATATGCACCTTAAATAAATTAGAGGTTACAGTTGCTTTTGTAGGAATTAAAAGGATATTCTTAATTTCTTTAATCTTCACTGAAGCTCAGACAATACATTTAAGATTTAACCTAAAATATATGTCATCCTTTTTGTCTAGTGCTATTCGTACACAGATGAAGTCACACATTTAAGCAGGAATGTCTTACCCAAAGTAGTACTTTTCACTTATTAAAATATCAATCAAATATTTATTAGACAAGCATGCTTTCCACAAGTGACACAGACATACTCATACATTTTTAGTCATGTAGCAGTTTGATTCAGACCATAAATGATTCTGTCTGCTTCACTAACTCTTCACTGAAGTCACTAAGGAAAGGATTCCTCCTATTTAAAGCAAAGAAAGCCCTTGAAGACAATTACTCATTCAAAGCAGCGGCAGCCACTCCCATGGTGCATATTTGCTAATGTGCACCGAGTGATTTCATATTCACAGTGGTAGAATTGTAATTCAGGGGGTCTGAAAAAGTCTTGGTGGGAAAACCCAATTAGGATGCCAAGAAGGGGCATGTAATAAGATTCTGTCACTCTGTAATGGAGTGACAGGGCTGGTGATAAGGCTGGCACATGTTGAGCTCTCACTCTGAGCAGATTTCAATCAGGGTCGTCCTGGGAGGCATGACCTGCCTCGTTAAGAGAATGCAATACCCTCCCCTGCTGATTGGATAATTGTGAAAGAACGTGCTATAGGCTTAACATGTTTAAGAAGGCTTAAAGGTTCAGTGTGTAAGTTTTAGTGGCATCTAGTGGTAAGGGTTGCAAATTGCAACAAATGGCTCACTGTGTATTCACTTGCTGCAAGCAAAAAATAAATAAATAACCTAATTTTGTACATTTTCTGCATTCAACATATGGTTCTCCTTTAAATATCTTTATAATATAGACCACTTCTGGCAAGGTTTTTATTATTTCTGTCTTCTTTCATATTTGTATACTGTACTGTATACTTCTTTATGTCCCATTTACACTTAATTCCTCTTTTTGCAATACATTTTGCATAGATTTTATTATAATAAATTATAATAATCTTAAAACATACTTTTATAGGAGAGACTTTCCCGATCTTATTTGACTTTATTTTATCCCTTTTATTTAATTCTATTTTACTAATTTTATATTTATCTTAAACGTGTATTTTAGTCTTTTCAATGTTTTCATGCTTTTATCTTGTATTGTTTTTGTATTATTGTCTTTTGGGTATTATTGTCTTTTGGGTATTATTGTCTTTTGGGTATTATTGTCTTTACACTTGTTAAAGCACTTTGTAACTTGTTTTTGAAAAGTGCTCTACAAATAAAGATTATTATTATTATTATTATCATTATTAATATTAATTATTATCTCTCTAAAAAGGAAAGTGTGTGTGTGTGTGTGTGTGTGTGTGTCTGACTGTCTGTCTGTTTGTACATTCGTATTCAATGTGACGAAACACTAACTAAATGGAAAACTAGAGTAGTTTGTCCATTTGAGACATGGCGACGTCGATGTAAGGGGGATTTGCAGTGTAGATAGAAATGGCTCATTCTAAGGTAATAAAAATATAACAGTTCATTATGTAATGTCTTTATACGTCACTGAAAACATAATTATGTATATTGTATTGCATTTCTGTAATAAATAAAAAACTAAATATTACACACTGAACTTTTAAACATTTCATAAAATATCCATAATGCAATGATTAGTTCATGAATCAATAAGTCAGTAACAAATAAATACAAACATTCATAAAGAAATTAAAAAAATAAATGAATAATGGCTTTTTGACAACTCATTAATGCTTTAAAGAAGAAGCTGTCTGTTTTCTGCTGGACAGGTAATTAAGTTAGTTGGACTTTAGTGATGCAAATGAAAGCTGTTTGATAGCAATAGCTAGAAGCTGGCCATAATCACCGACACACCTGGCGTGTTTCTCCTGTCAGTTGTGTAAAATATGTAGTTGGATTAATTACATGTAGCCTTGTTATTCTCTAGTGCTTTGCTTCAGCTTTCCCAGTTATATTAGCGAGACAATCAGCTGCTCAGTAATTGGCAATAAAACGTTAGCTTACAGCATAGAAGCATCAGCCAGCTAAACTTTTATTGCTCTGGTAGAAAATTAATTAATTAAATTCATGTAGTTATTCTCTAGCGCTGTGCTTTGGCTTGTGGTGTAAAATATGTAGTTGGATTAATTTAATCTAGTGACTCTCTCTCCACTCTGTTTTGGCTTTGTCATTATGTTCCTGAGACAATCACTAGTTGGCAATAAAATGTAGCTTCCAGCATGAAAGCTCAGATCAGCCAGCTAAACTTTTACTGCCCTGGAAGAAAAAAAATATGTTGTTGGATTGTAATTTAATGTAGTTATTCTCCAGCGCTCTATTATGACTTTGCAAGGTAGACAGAAATGTGTCCTTACCTTCCTGAGACAAACAGCTGATGAATATTATTGGCAATAAAATGCTAACAGCAGAGAAGCTCAGTTCAGGAGCTAAACTTCTGTTGAATTCCAGATGTGGCTATTTAATGAACGAGTAACAATAATATTCACAATAACATATGATTTTACTGAATAATCAAGTAAATATATTTTCTTAATATATCAATGTAAAGAAACCTGATTTCTTGACTGGCAACTCTCTGCTATCTCACAGAGGACATATTTTGTCCTGTCTCATTCACTGTAGCTATACAACTCGCTTGGATAGAAAACTGGTTTCAACTTCTCAAATGTGACATTGTTCTGGGTTCTTACAACTTGTGATGAGCATTTGTCATAATTTGTGACATTAAAAATTGGGCAACAATTAAAATTTTTATTTTTTCTGCGATTAGTCGCATAGTTATGCACAAAATTGAATAATAAATTCTAAAATAGTGTATTGCACACTTTTAATTTAAATGTACTGCTATATACAAGTGCAACAACATGTGGTTTGCACACAGAAAGGTGATTTTTACCAGCAGTATTCCGTTTACACAGTAGCAATAAAATATTTATTATAAATCTCAACTAAAACATTAATGTAATCAAATCAAATGTAAAACCAAAGATATTTGCCACTGCCAGGGCATTACCTTTTATCTAGTTTGTTAAAACAAGTAAGAGTCTAGAGCCATAACATCATAAAAGGCACCTTCTGAGCAACAGTTTATCTGTTTTCTTGTTTTGTTTTTTTTGTCTGAACAGGTATCAGCAGAAACATTTTTCTTTTATCAGGGAGCAGCAGAAACAGTCTATGTTCAGCAGCAAGTGTCCCTGTTAGAGTGAGGTTGTTATGAGTCTGCAGTTCTCCTCCCCGACCCCTTGTGTTTATGTTCTCATCCCTCCCTGTGTCTCCTGTTAGTCTGTCTGTCTCTCTGTGTTGTCTGGGCGTGGCTTCTCACTCTGGGCCTGGCGCTCCACCTCCACCTGCACACCTGATCCACATTCCACTAATCAAGACTCTGCAGTATATCAACCCGTTTCTTCACCTCACCTCAGTGGTATTTGTGCTGTGGCCTACAAATCTCAAGTTGTATATTCTGTTTGTTTCTTGTGAGTTCAACTTACCTTGTCTCTCAGGATCACTGCCTGCCTGGAGATTTTGCCCCTGCCTCACTCAGCTCACTGCCCGCCTGGAAATCCACTCGCTGGTCTCCATTCCCTGGTCTGCCCGCTGGTCTGCTCCGCTCTCACAACCCGTTTTTCAATAAACTTTAAGTTCCTGGATTTAAACCTGCCCCGAGTCCAATCTTGAGTCTGTTCATCTAGCCTGCCATAACAGAGGTGAAGTGTTCGCCTCAAGCACACGCCTACCCGCTGCCGAAGTTGAATTGTCTAGAACTTTTTGCACGCAGCGCGGAGAACAAATCATTGGAAGAGAGACAGAGCCTCGCTGTTTGAGTTTCCACAATCTACTACTGTTTACTAAATAGGACATCAACTGGAGGGAATTTGCATTGCGGAGCATCCCCTGCAACGTCACCTGCCGTTTACTCGCGGAACGCTTGTCTCCCTGTCTGTTCTGTTCACCGGAGCAAAGAGCAACCCCGCAGGGCCAAGCGACTATGTTGTGATTTTAAGAACGTTCCTAAGATCGACATCTGCCCCAATAGAAATCAGCATGCAGTGTGTAGCTATCCAGTTCGCTATGGCATTTGTTCGCTTGTCTTGCTTTAACTACTTCTCCCACACGCTGCATCCAGCTTAGTCTGCCGAAGCCTCCCTCTGCTCAGATTGGTCAACACCCCTCCTGACCAATGGTTTGACTGTACAGTATGTGTAGAAAAAATGCCTAAAATTACATACCCAAAATGAATCAGGAATAACTCCTCAACCATTTGGCCTAAATGCATAATTCTGGTCTCCTTTGAGTCAGAAGCTAAGGAATATAAATCCATTGTATATTAATAGATTTATTTTACTTTTACAGACTACATAGAGATGAAATAAAGAAAAAGTCTGATATTTTCATCCTCGCCTGGTAAAAAAAAAAAGCTATATTTTAATGCAATAAACCATCAAAACCATCATAAGGAAGCTTTTAATGCAACTGAAGATCTTCTAATACACCTGGAATGCAATTGTAGCTGTAAATCTGATGAAAATAAACTAAAATACAACAGTTATCATGCAACATTTTCAAAATATACCAGGCGAATGTCCATATTTTGGCAATATTTACTGTTAAAATGTGGACTTTTATTGGTAGATATCTTTAAAACACTTTTTCTGTCCATACAACCAAGTTCCAAATAACATAATATTGAAATAAAAACAGTGAGTATTCATCAACATTCCTGTCATCAAAAGCACACCCATGCTTTACAGGCGTGTAGATTAAGAATGGAACATCCCACAGTGATGGGGGGGGCGTCAATTGATCTGGCTTGAGCAGACCTTTAATTTGGTACCCATGTCTATGCATACATGTCTATGTATCTCCAACGGGTTGGCCACAAAATGGCGAAAAACACCGTGTGTTCTCAAGCGGCATGTTTCCGGTCTACAGAAATGTCGAAACACATGTGTTTCCCAGGTTAAAGGTGCCCCCCCCCCCCCCCCCCCCCCCCACTAAATCAAGTCCTGCTATGCAGACTAGCCCTCACTCATTACTGTACAGAACTCAACTTTATTCTCTGGTTTTACTGAAACTGGATCAGAGTTGATGGAGACAATATTGCCCTGTTTTCCCTCTAATGTCCTCCACCTGCTCTGCCTCCACTTTGGCTGTTTTACGGAGTTTATATGTTATTGGTTAACTACTGCTAACAGCAGCAGCTAATAAGTTAGCCGTGCAGCTAGCTGTCCTATTGCTGATTCTGTCCTGGAAGCTTGGTGCTCCGGGGTTGGTTGTTGGTGTTTACACCTAACATTCCCACAGAAGCTTTGGACCGCTGGTTAAGAGATAACAGCAGCTAGCTGTTGCTAACAGTAATACAGTAATCTGTTAATGTTATCAGTCCATCAGGAAGCTTCATAAATCACAGAGTTGAGGCAGAGCAGCCAGAGGACATCAGAGGGAAAACCACAAAATATTTCCTCATAATCTTCATAACTAAAAGCACTTTCTGTGAACCACACTGCCCTGCACAACCTTCCGTTTCTCAGGGGTATTTTGGGTGCGTGAGATTATATGAAGGAGGAAACAATGGAGATTGAGGCTCACATATGTCAGTTACATGCACTGAACTGTTGTTATTCAACTATGCCAAGGGAAAAACAGTTTTCCATTTTACCGCACCTTTTACATGTGTGGATTTACCATGAAAACCTATTTTCTCAGTCATCTTCTAACTATGAGTGATGGTGTTCTACATGAACACAGTCTTCCTAGAGTTATTTCATGTGAGAGTATGTATTTGCGTTCTCATCTGAGCTACATCTGAGTTTCAGTTGAATCAAAACCTGAAGGCAATTGTAGGTGAATCAAGTATGATCATAGTACACCTATACAGTCCTGATGAAGCAGATTAACTTATGTTTTGAGCATTAACTCTTAATAAATAATATATCAGGATGATCCATCTACCCACATTAATTGATTTTTGGGCCACCTAGGGACAGCGGAAACAAACTGTAAACACAACATGGACTTATTATCCTCTTGTAAAGCAAGATTGTAAGTAAACAGTTTCCTATTTAAACACCCAGCAGATCCAGAGCAACATATTAGCATTCATTTGGAGTCGGTTCTGGCAACCTGCTGAATTTCTGTTCTTGTATTAGCTTCATTTTGTCAGCACAAGCCCCTGAGAGAAATATCTGTCTTTTTAGTTGCTAAAATTCTCCACAACAGTATGTTCACCAGCTAGTCGCTAACTTTGTCTGTTAGACTTTTGGTGGTGGGAATGTAATGTATAATGTTATGACGGCCATGAGAGTGAACCAGAATATTTAATTTAATAATTACACATAGTCATTTGATTATAGATTATAGGCACTTTAATGTTATCACAAAACTTAAAGAGCAACTTAACATCCTTTCATAGCTTGAACCAACCCGTTCTCACTCCCAAGTCATCACATTTGGAGTCAAGATCTGTTGGCATCAGGTTGTGACGAGCTTGGGCACTCCTTAGCGTCATAGTTCAATGCACTGGGGAAAGCCCTGTAGTGTCAGTTTTGAATACTGAAGCTAAGTGTTGGATATTTAACAGAAAAGTCAGAGTAAGGAGGTAGTTGGGGTGGACTGGGGCCAGAAACTGGACTTTCAACCAGGAGACCGGCATTCGTTTCCCATGTGAAACAAAAACATTTAATTTAAGTAGGTTAAGGTTATGTTGGTGTGGGAGTCTCAGGTTCCATTTCCACTGTGACACATACACCAATGTGTCCATGAGCAAGACACTTAACCCATAGTTGCTCCAGATGCACGCAACCTCTGCTAAATTATTACTTAACTTATTTAAATTAACTGACGTAAGTAACTTAGTAAACCCAAACCATGATCTTATCCTAAATCTAACCAAGTACCTATTGTGTCTAAACTTAACCAAATTGTTACATTTCACAGCGGCACAGCCGTAACACGGCGCACACGCCTCCTGTGTGAGTCCAATGTAAAGGGGTACCCAGGGTGTTAAAAAGCAACGCCAAGGAGTCTTGACCAAGGCCCCATCCACACAGAGTTAACGATTACGATCTCTGTCCATGCCAGTGTTCTACATTAAAACGACTGAAAACTCACATTTAGTGGCCCTTCACACTGGGTGCACGTGCCGGTGTAAACACAGTTACAGAAGATTTGATGAAAGAATTAAAAAAAACAGACGAAGAACCACACCAGATTTTTTCTTGCATGGACCAAAAACGAGCTGGGACTGCTATTGAATATAACACTGGAGTTAAAAGCAACTGTGCCAGCCGAAAACAGACTGGGACACGTCACAAAGTAAATAAGGCAACATAAACAGTACAAGTATAGGCTATAAGTGTTATTTGCACGGTACAAAATATTTTCAGTAGTAATATTTAGTCTGCTTTGCATGACTTATGAGAACCAATCAAAGAGCAAAATGTGAGCGCCTGCGGCATCATTTCTAAAGTCCTCCGTTTTTGCCCGTCTGCACCAAAACGCTACCCGGAGTTTTAAAACGAAAAACAGGGTCGGCAGCATTTTCAAACTTCACCGTTTTAGTCTGTATCTATATGTGAGGTGCAAACGTAGCAAAAGGTCTCCGTTTGAAAGCGAAAACGCAGTAGTGTGGATGGGGCCCAAGCATCCATATGTGACAATTTAGGATCTAGTGTTGCTTGAACGCACTCCCTTCATAAAAAAATGCATTCTGAACCCTGACACAGTGCACAACCACCACATTACTTCTGTTGCAATAAACACAGTAAAATGGGACCCAGATTAATAGATAATAAATTAATAAAGTTACTGTACTGAAAAAAGCTTTCCAGGGCTTTAGGTTGCTTTAAACTTTCTTTAAACAAGCCAAACATTCTCTAATTATAAACAATTTTCATGAAGAAAATATATTTAGCAGAAACTTCACCCAGATTTAGGTGTAAAGTGAGACTGCAGCTGAAATTAATTAAACTGTATCTAATTAATTGTTTTCACTTTTTTGTTGTTCAGGTGGATTCTCTCAAACATTCTTTGGAAAATCATTCATTTTGTAAATAACTTTAGGTCATAATACTGCTAAAAATGCAAGTGGGTGGGTGAAAAAAAGGCCTTGGAGATTGCATTGCTTTTTGCGCATGCAGTTTTTTACAGGTGTAACAGCTGAGAAAAATGTATCTTGAAATAATCATTTTCCAGGGGGAGAATGCTTTATTTGTACCAAAATGTATTCTTACACTCATCAGTCTGGAATTTCAGATGCAAGGACACCACAGAAATAAAGAGCACTTGAAAAGATGTGTGGTGACTCATGGAGCAAAGAAAGAAACACAATTGAGATTCTGCAGGGGAGAACTAAGCACTATTTACCTAGGCTGCCCAGAGCAAGCCTGTGGGCACAGAACAGTTGACACCACGAGTAAATGATGCCCACTCCGATCTCTCATGGTGATCAAAAGGAAACTTTAAAAACCTGGTAGGTTCTCTCATGACCATTTGGACATTTTCTGTTGAATACAATCTCATGTGGTACTGTTTGGATCTTCTAATTAAAAGATTTGTGTTAAAGTTTTGTACCCTGTGATATTTCTGTCTGTTTTGAAGACTAATTGTGCTGATATGTGTGAACAAAATAAGTGGTGTGCACTTATAGAGAGAGTGTTCCTTGTCCAGTGAGAGTGGGAAACTCCCACTCCACTTGTTTCAATAGTGAAAGGGTTTCTTCATCAGTGAGAGGAAACTCACTTTACATTTTCAAAGTGATATTAGCTCATAGATACAGATTTATTCCTAGCAGTAAATGACTGGATCCATGTTAATAGGTCAAAATATAACAACGCTGAATCCTCACTACCCAGATGATTTCTCAATTCACCAAGCTAATGGCGCTGAGCTTTAGAGAAGCAACAGTTCTTGTGCTCATTGACTATGGATGAGCATCTGGTCAATGTGAATGCGTGATCTGATCACTGTGCTCCTCCTGAGAGTGTCTTGCTGTGTTTCCCTGTGCACAAGGATAAAACATGCAAACATACAGAGCCCACAGTGTCACGCTCTTCACGCACATCTGCCTCTATGGTGGCATACAAATGCAGCTTCAGACTGTAGGTGACAATGACTTGGAATCTTGTGAACTTTTAATTGTGAACAGAAATCACACTGACTATTAATGGTTTTGGACTGTTAAAATTTGTGAATACATCTCTTAAGGGTAGAAAAACAACTAATAATGTACAAAACATACAAAATACGATCCATTGTTTAAGATTAAACTACCCAACAGTATAAAAAAACTCCATGTAAACTTACATGTTAATGGAATAATTATATACTAGAAGAATGCTAAAGTATCATCAGCAAAATGCACTTAGTATCAAAAGTAACTAATCATTATAATAATAATAATAATAATAATAATAATAATAATCTTTATTTGTAGAGCACTTTTCAAAAACAAGTTACAAAGTGCTTTAACAAGTGTAAAGACAATAATACCCAAGAGACAATAATACAAAACAATACTAGATAAAAGCATAAAAACATTGAAAAGACTAAAATACAGATATTTAAGATAAATATAAAATTAGTAAAATACAATAAAATAAAAGGGATAAAATAAAGTCAAATAAGATCGGGAAAGGCTCTCCTATAAAAGTATGTTTTAAGAACGGACTTAAAAGAGTTCACTGACTCAGCCGACCTGATTTACTCGGGCAAGCTGTTCCAGAGCCTCGGGGCCCTGACAGCAAACGCTCTGTCCCCTTTAGTTTTCAGTCGAGACTCTGGAACAGACAACAGACCTCTGCCCGAGGATCTCAAGGTACGTGCTGGTGTGTATGGGACTAAAAGGTCAGAAATATAACAAGATGAGAGGCCATGAAGAGCTTTAAAAGTGATCAATAAATTTTTAAAGTCAATTCTAAAACATACTGGGAGCCAGTGTAATGAAGCTAAAATAGGAGTAATGTGGTCATATTTCTTTTTTCTGGTTAAAAGCCTGGCAGCTGAATTCTGGACAGTCTGGAGTCGATCAATAGATTTTTGGGTTAAACAGGTGAAAAGGCTGTTGCAATAATCCAGGCGTGATGAGATGAAGGTGTGTAAAATGGTCTCGGTGTCCTTAAAAGTTAACATAGATCGAATTTTTGCTATATTTCTAAGTTGATAAAAACATGATTGAACAAGCTTTGTGGTGTGCTGCTCGAAATTTAAATTACTATCAAACCAAACACCAAGGTTCTTTGCCACAGGCTTAATGTGATTTACTAGGGAACCAGCAAGGAAGGAAAACAAAATGGGTCCTAAGACTGACCCCTGAGGCACACCATATTTAACTGGACAGAACGAAGAGACATAGTTGTGTACAGACATGCAAAACTTCCTATTTGACAGGTAGGATGAAAACCATTCTAGGGCAGTACCAGAGATCAGTGATGTCAAAAGCAGCGCTAAGGTCCAGGAGTACCAGGACTGAGCACATGCCTTCATCAGCAGACAATTAGGCAGAATAAACCCTGTCAGTGTTATATTATTATATTGGACCGTTATTATTGATGCATGTAAACAGTACTTTAAAGTTATAACAGTACTTTAATGTTATAACCAGTTGAGGTGGAGCCTTTTAACTGTTTTATATACTTTTGGGTATTTAAATAATGATACATGATATTTTTTAAACTTGTAGAACATTAATCTGAAATGCAAATAGATTAAACAAATGTAATGGAGTAGATGTATTAAATAGCATAAAATGGAAGTACTCGGATCTCATCCTTTTCAGGAATATTTTAGTGCATGATTCAGACATTAAGTTAGTCCAGGCTTGTAATTTAACATGTTCTATAATTTTTTATAGGCATAATGACCTTCGTTCCACCAAGGAAGTGCAGTTGAAGTGAAAAGTAGACTAATCCATTTCCCGAGCACACTTTAAGGACGAGCAAAACAGATTTTCCTTTACAGCTGTATCCATCATGATCCAGTAATATGTCTGTGTGAAGAATGGTCTGTGATTTAGTTTTCCCTCCATCATTTATCCGAGTTAATTTTATCTTAAGCTAGACGGAGGTCATTTTCTACTGTCGATGAGTTACATAATCAAATTTCTGTTTTGTGCTATTCTCTGCAGTATGACTAATTAGCTCTGGACATCCTCAAATGTGTAATGTCTGGAAAATCACCCTCCTCTTGCTCACTTCCATCTTGATAGCCACAATCAAGATGAAATGAACTCTAGTGCCACTGACCAGGCTGGTAAACAGCATGACTTCTGTCGGCTTCAGGGCAACTAAAATAATTTACTGAAGCTGCAGCCAGAGTAGGAGGTTAAGATTTGATTTCATGTGAGCAGAGAAAAGAGTAAAGTACATCAGCCTACCAGCCAAGGTACTGAATGCCAACCAAGGGTTTTGTCTGTAGTTTCCTTTCCTCTGAATTCTTGCTCTCCTGAAATTTGCTTCATAATAGAAACAACTCACATTTCCATTTAAGGCTTTTATTTCTGATGAATGTTGGTTCAACCATCACAGCAGGTGACACACGAGGTGCTGCTGCATTTTGCAGGCTGAAATACCTCACGGTGTTGGAATGTTGAACAGAGTCAGCAAATACTCGACTGTAGTTCCAGAGAAAAGGTGATGCAGCAATTCTTTATGGAAAAAGAAAAATGTACTCACAGATACTCTTGTGATTTCAAATAATTTATTATTCAGCAATGTGAAGTTTTATCTTTCCTTCATATTAGCAATAATACATGTGTCCCCTGATGTCAGCATCCCTGCATTCCCAAGTATTGTTTTACATTTTAGTAAATCAGTGATGATGAAATAAAGTCTGTAGGCTAGCCCAAAATTGATGTGATTACATTTTGTTACCCATGCGGTACCGGGCCAATGTAAACACTACGCTAAGAAGTAAAAATAGTTAAAATTGTATAGTAGTAAAGATACATCTCAAATGAGTATTCAAATAAACACATATTCGGTACAAGTGATACATAAATGATTTGTGTATCAGGGTTTTTATGAATTGACAGTTCACTAAGCCCTGTCCCCCTCAGTAACTGTTGCTGCCTGTCAAGCTTTCATTCGTCACATATGCAGTGTGCATGTCACATACACAGTTTACAGTAGTAACAGTGGCAGATTTAACACTCAGATTTCTTAGTTATTTTTAAAAACAATGGGTGCTTGATTTCACACAGAGGTAGACAAATGCAGGTTTCTCATTTCTAGCCAGCTGTAGGCTACACAGGACTTCCCTTGTAAATGAGACTACAATGGCCGTGCATCAATAGCTGCGTTTCCACCAAAGGATCTATACCCCGGAACTAGGAACCTAGGAACTAGACCAGGGTCTAAATTTTATTCCAGGGTCTTTATTTTACCCCCCCAAAAGTCCCTACTCGGGGGGTAGTACTTTCCAAGGGTACAGGTACTTTGGGGTGGGTGGGGCTTGCCTTGCAGTGAATTTCTGAATGGGCGAGTAGAGGCTACTTGCTTTAAATCGAGCATGTCGGCTGTTTTTGCACTACGGCTCCTCTTTTCCACCTTTCTTTGCAAACCAATAAATCACAATCAACTGTCAATAGCGCACACACATGTCCGCCTGAGATTGTACATCAGCATTAAATTTATTGCTTGGAAATAACAGCCAGTATGCAGCGGTGTGTTTACAGCTAACATCAGATAGAGTTACGCTAAATACTCATCAGTCAGGAAGTTTCTACAAGTCGGCCTCCTCTTCTCCAAAACAAACAGAACATCTGATTACAACAGGTAAAGCTCCTTAAAAAATCACGTTCCTCCGACGCACAGGTGGACACACACGTGAGTCATGCCAGCTGATATACAGCTCATTGTCTGAAAATGTTTTAATAACCTTCCAAACTGTCGCAATTTTATGTTTGTGTTTTTTTCTCTGTGTTGGTGTTATTTTATGAACTTCATGACTTTATCCAGTTTGTTATTAAATTTGTAACAAACTTTATCGTGTGTCTCTTTATATTATACTCCCCCACAAAAAATTCCAGTCAAATCTGATGTTAGTTTATAAATTTTGGTCATGGATAGCGGTTACTAAATAATGATGCCTGTCCATCGCTTTGTACGGCGTATCCGTCAGCTGGTTAATTTGCCTAATCTTCGCAGGTCTTTAGACCACGGTGGAAACGCATACAACAGTGGGCTGAAAGAACCTTTTAGTTCGCAGAAACGCAGCTAATGGGACTTTCCTGTTAAAATAAAGGTTAAATGAAATAATGAAAGATTTAGCTAGCTAATTAAGCTAACATTAGCTACATGAGTTAGCTGAAAACTCTGTCTCCAGTTGATTTTTTTATGTTTCTAGCAGCCTGTATTTAAAAGGAGTCTTAAATATGCACTTGATGGCTACATACATGATATTGTGCGAAAATACTGAGGCTAAAGCTAATGCTGACTTTTTACATAAAATGTCAGCATCCTCACCAGTTGATGATCGGGGTCATTCCTATGTTCCCAAGGTCCAGTGTTCCCCAGTGTTAGGTTTAGGGGTTAGTGGTATGGATCCTGGGAACATAAGACCCTGGGAACATAGATACACACCCTTACTAATCCATGTAGAAGACAATAAAGAAACAGCATTGTGCTTGTGTTCCATTGTACAGCTTCTTAGTCTAGTACCTGAAGTTTTAAAGAAAAATGTAAGATGAGAGTGTTATTTTGTTACATAGCCGTGTTTTGCTTAGGTTATGTTTTCACTTTTTTGGATGAGGCTTTTAGGATGAGCACTAACCAACATAACACTATCTCAGGTAATGTTGGCAGGGGATTGGTGGAGTGTAAACTTTTTCACATAAAGGGCAGGACAGAGCCGCTAATGTTAGCCTATACTCAAATAGCTTCCGGGATTAGCTTCCATGCGCAGTGGAAACTATTGACCAGTTAGTAGGCTACTGTTGGTAGTTAGCTTGTTAGCTAGACATGTTAAAGTTTATAGCTTACTTTAGAGCATATGAACACACAATATAACCCATTCCTCACACTTTTGCTTGTGTTTTTGAATAAAAGACACCAACATCAAAACCTTTGTTTCATTCTTAGGGAGAAGACCCACTGGAAGCAAACAGATTGCTCAACATCGCATCTGACACTTCTCACTCGTCGTGGTGGGGGAGTGAGTAACTTGTGTATTAGCAAAGATTGTGGAAACATGCAACCTGCATTTTATCCTGCAATTTGCGTGACGCTGTGCCAAGCAGCACTTCATTGTTTGGATCTGTAATCCTGGAGGCCAGAGACATGGAAAAGAGGGATCCCAGAAAGTGCAATAGTGATCTTGTTCTCCACACACGACTCCAAAGAAGGTAAACACGAAACCTCCTGACCCACCCCAGCATTGTATTTCTGCAGAGCTTCCAGTGGGTCTTTAGCCTTCCTACAGCCCCATTTATACCACTCAAGGCATGCAGCGAAATCCAAAGCTTGACAGACCTGTGTTGCCTAGTTACAGTTCTAAGCTATGATTGGACAATCACTATATGGGGGAGGGTTTAGTGAACAATCCATTCAGGTGAGTCTTATTCATATTCTGACACTAAAAACTTGATTAACTTGTTTGATTAAAAATGTGTGGTTGAAATAATAAAGACTTTAATGCAACTCTTTGTAAAGAAGTGAAAGAAACAAGCACAAGGGCAGAAGTGAAGTCAGTGGGGGGGACAGATGGTGATCTATCAAAAATGACTCACAGTATGAGCGGATGGATGGCTTATTGGTCTGGTCCTTCTATTTGTGGCTATGGACAACTTAGTTGAGAGCCCATAAATAAATGTAAAATACTGGACATATCTGCAGGAAAAAAATATAAATTATATCACAGTAGTCTTTATTTATATGCAATGCCCATCAAGCTTGATTAAATTTTCATAATGTTTTTAGTCTCAAGGGTAGACTGCAGATGTCAGCGGTCAGCATTCATTCTGCGCAGTTTAGGGGGCAGGTTGTCCTCTGGCCGACTCCCTACCAGTGGGATCTGGACTGGTGTTGGAGCAGTAATAGTGCTAATGGCTGCTGGCAGTCTGGATTTCTCCAGCTCACCCTCCTCAGCATCTCCATCCAAGGACAACAGCTGGACCTGCTCCTCCGGCTGTCCTTGCATCGCAGCTGGGATGGAGCTGGACCTTAGCCTCTGAATACTAAGCGGAAGGTCTCCTGTGCTGGAGGCCTTCCCTCCAGGCAAGGCTGGCCCTGTCTTCAGCCCCCTCCAGAGGTACTCCTCCCGTGTAGAGCTCATGCGCTGGAGTTTGTTGGGCAACCTGGAGGCTTGGTCCTCTATGTGGTCCGCATAATCAGCTGACAAGAGCCTTTCTCTGCGGCCTCCACGGCCGCCATTCCCCATCGGAGGGGAGGAGGGCGTGTGTGCAACAGGCAGTGGGTGGGGCGATGTCAAGGAGGACTTCTCCTCCTGCTCTTTGACGCTGTAGGGAGGCGTAGGGACCTCAAAGGTGTTGTGGAACTGGGAGTAGTCGACTCTGAAGAAGCCCTCCTCCAGTGACATGACGGGGAGGAAACGATGGCCCCACAAGACTTCATCTTCGGTGTAAGATGTCCTTGCCTGGCATGTCATACCTACAATGAAGTAGAGAAATATTTCAAATACAGACGAGAAAAATACAAAAAGGGGATTACTAAAAACACTCTTACAAAGAAAATGGTAGGAATTGGGCTGTTAAATAAAAATGCAGGACAGAGAACAGAACTTAAAAATGGAAAATTGCTTCAGAAAAAATACACACAGAGAAATTTAAAGAATGTATATAGGACAGAGACAGAAAAGAGCTTGTGCTATTGAATAATTAAAGACCGTGAAAATAAACAATGTTAAATATTTTATTTTATATTAGGCTACAGAAAAATACCACAAGCTAAATGATGATGAACCAAATGATTGAGGAAAGGGAAGCTTATTCAAAAAAACATATACATATTCAGAAACGATAATTTGCTCTAACCAGTGGTCTCCACGATGCCCTCTAGGATGACAACAATCTCAAACTGCTCATTCATGAGTGAGCGCTGCGACAGATCGAAGAAGGGGCTCTTGGTGTTGATCTCGTGGCAGATGGTTAGAGGCGACACCAAAAAGAGCTGGTCCGCCCCCGTCCCAAAACCCACGTCCAGCTCGCACTGGTCCAGGGGAAGGAATTCGCCCTCTGGTGTCTGCCGAGACTGGAAACACAAACGATCAGGGCGTATTTTTACTTATAAGGTATAATTTAGGAAAAATCCTCAACTTTGTCCCCCACAATGGGGTCAGAGCACAGGATTTTGGAAGCAAATAATAATTATAACCAACTGAATACCCAATTGTCAAACTTAACCACTCTGAATGCTTAATCAAATTTAAAACTTTGAAAAGCCATCTGCCTAAATGTGAATTGTGTAAATGACCCTCTTTGAATTTTCAAGTTTAAGTTTTTTCAAGTGCTGTAGTTTCAAAAACTGAATTTTCCATCTTGAATTCTGGCGTCTGAATCTAACCATCTCATTCAGACAGATTGAAATATGTGTCAATACTATAAATTCAGTGGTATTTAAAGGAATAGTTTGGAAACATTTTGGGAAATATTATTATTAGGGCTGGGCACGCGTTAACGCATTACTTAATTAACGCCAACAATTATTTTATCGCACGTTAACGCAGTTTTTATTTTATTATTATTAGTTTGAAAGTCCCTTGCTCATTGTTTGACTCTTAATACACATACAGTCAAACCATGGGTCACAGGAGGGGCGGGATGTTGATCAGCCTGCAAGCACCCACCCAAACAAGCAGTGGAGGGAGGCTTCGGCAGACTACGCATGTTTTTCCATATTTTCCCCCCCGCGATCCGTTATCACGGCAGCAGGTGAGCCGCTTGCTTGTTAATGACGCAGCCTATCAAACAACTCAAACAGCCGAAACCAACATCTGCACCCTGTGTTCAACGCTGCTTTAACATTAGCCTACCTGGTCTGTGCTTATCCACCGCGACTTGTAACCTCATTTCAAGTTTTTAATCGAGTGAAGTCTGTGCGAGTGAACACACCTGCTACACCCTATGCACACACTGCATGTAAAAAGCACCTTATTTGTTTAAAGTGTTTGGAAACCACAATTTATTACACTTTTGTGTATATAGCAGTACATACAAATTGCGCAATACACTACTTTAGAATTCATTATTCAATTTTACGCATAACACTGCGATTAATTGCGATTAATCCCAAGAAAATCATGCGATTAATCTTGATTAAAAATTTTAATCTTGCCCCTAACTAATTATTATTATTATTCGCTTTACTTTAGCGAATTAGATGCGAAGATCAATGTCACTCTCAGATCTGATAAGAAACTACACTAGTGGTTAAATTTCAACCACTACTGTACTACTTTCTGGAAACAAGGGGGAACAGCTAGCATGTCCAGAGGTAACAAAATCCACCTACCAGCACCTCTATAGCTCACTAATTAAATTAATTAACTGTTTTCAGTTTTTACACTAAGCTAACCACCTGCTTGCTGAAGCCTCATGATGACATGAGAGTGTTATTAATCTTCTCATCTCACACTTGCCAGAAAGCTATCTTGCATTTCCCAAAATGTTGAAATAATGCTTTGAATTCAATGGTGGTCAAATTTCATAATTATTAGGTGTATATTTTCTTATACAATTTTAATCACCAATGCACAATAATAAGCACCAATTCATACCAAGGCAAATTCCTCATATGTGAAAATGTACTTTGCAATAAACCCGATTCTGATTCTGGGTATTACTTACTTACATACTGGGTTAGCTATTGCAGTAGGCAAATTATTCTGTTACTTCATTAATGGAAAGTTAAAACAAATAAGTTATGTCAGAGGTTTAACTCACAGTACAGATAATGTACCCACCCATTACAATAATAATAATACTGTCACAGAACAGTTTGACATTTACTTGAAATAGCTTATTCGCTTTCTTAGTGAGAGTTGGATGAGAAGATTCCACAGTGGTGTCAATCTTCCCATCTAACACTTGGTAAGAAAGAGAATAAGGGGTTTTCCCTAAATGTCAATGTTTTCCTGAAAGGGCATGATCATAACTTTTTATGAAACAGTCTGTTAGACAAAGCAGGTGTTCCTGATGTACAAGATGAACAAGAGCAAATGGAATCCCTCCAAAATTCAAAGCACTGCTGGCTTTTGTGCTAAAAAAAAACATGTCAAAGGTTTTAGCCACCTGAGAATGACTGGTGTTAAGTCTACCAGGCCACTTCATCAGCCAGGACCATTTTTCCTTTATCTCTGTTGGATAATATGTGCTACTGTACTGTACTGACATTTTTCATCCAAGACCCCTTGCGGCCACTGTAAATGTTCGGGAGCATGTATTTTTTTTACAGGCATAAGGGTCCCATGAAACAGCTTTGAGAAGGCAAATGTCTATGATTTAACATGGTTCCACATGACATGGGATTTTGGGGTGGTAGTTAAAGTGAGCAGGGAATTTTGGAGCACAAAAGCAGGCGGGACAAAGTAATTATAGTTGTTCAGGATTGCTTCCATCATTCCCATTTAAGGGGGAAATGATGAAGAGAGGCGTGTTTTTGTCCTCAGTCTCAGGCTTCATATTGATATTGCTCCAAAATTCTGGCACCTAGATGCACACCTCTAACCTGGTGCAATAGTGCTAGTTTTCCTGACCTGCATGTTTTATAAAATGGGAAGAAGTTGCTGAATCCCCCCAAAAATCTATGATGACATATTATTGGATAGAATATTTATTTGCCTGTGAGAGCTGGATGAGTCAACAAAAGGTTCTTGACACCTTTGGCAGGGAACTGGATGGATTTTGATATAAAAATACACAAAAGGGGAATATATTTTGACATTTGTTTTGTAGTGATAAAACAATAGCACCACAATACACCCAGGAGACACAACAACACTACAAAGGTATCCTTAGGACCTTGAGGTTGTTCTTTATGCACTTACTGCCAGCATATGGGTGTAAAAGACAGTGGTCTCGCACATCTCTGTCAGATAACACGAGCATTGGTAACATTTACAGTTTGAGACACTGTGGTAATCTTTTACTCTAATTGTCAGCATATTATGGTACTCTAAAACTCTCTGTAGTAGCCTGGCCTCTACAACAAGTATCATTAGATTGTGGAGAAGACACTAGTGCTTGCACTGCAATCAAATAAAGTACTCTTTTAGCTGTTAAATTAAAACATGGGATTAGGGAGAAGGCTCTCCATGAGTTTGTAAAACCTCTTTTCCTGTCAATTGCAAGCCTCTTACTCCAGTTTATATGTCAAGAGTGAATGATTTAAAAAGGAAAAGGTGTTTGTTTCACTCAGAAGGCCAAAGATAGAAACTCTGCAGCAACCCAAATGAAGTCCACTATCATCACAACAATAAAAGCAAATAAAAGCAGAAAATGTACTTAAACTATGTATGTACCATATTCTGCTACAGCTCAAATCAGATAGTTCTTTCTGTCACCTCATGTTAACTTGTATGCAGAGTGGTCTCCTTGGCCCTGAGTGAGGAGCCACTTGGTCCACAGATGGCAAACATGCTGTCATTTGTATTCACAGTGATGTTTAGGACAGAAGGGTGTGACATTTCACAGGAAGACGTCTGTGCCCACAGATCCCTGGCTCGCCTTGGTGAGGGAAAGTGTCACCCATCATGCTGTAGCCGTGATGGCTACTCCCGGAGTATGCAGACAAGGAGCCTATGTGGCATGTCTATTGTAGTTAAATCAGAGTAAAATGCTCTGAAAGGGGGATGTTTTTACATAAAAGGACAATGTTGAAAAGTGTGGATGCCCGGGGGGAAAATTTAAATGAAGAGAGGGAAAGCTGTGAAAAGCCACACCAACTGCCTGTCCTTTCATCTACCAGTCTGCATGGTATAGTCTTATAATAAATAAAATAATGTTAAAATGTTTCATTTGGCTCAACTTTTGCTGCAAGGCAATGCAACGATATCCGGCAAGGTTGCTGCGGTAGCCAATCACATACACACAAATACAGGTAAACTCCTGTTTACTTTGTTATTATCATGACAAAAAAATAAAATAGCTGCCACTGTGATAACTTTCCACAGTTCACAGTACAAAATTCTATGATTATAGCAAACCCTTGTGCATTGCTTTGGTTGCTTTGACCTTAAAACACTCACCGGTACCTTAAACAACAATCCCTCACCACCACAGGCCCCTGCGTTGTTTTAAAACAAGGCTGTTTTTGGTCTCAATCCCTGCTTAGAGTTGAAAAGATTAGTTAGTTTGACATTTTGGGAAATATACTTATTCGCTTTCATGCTGAGAAGATTGATACCACTCTCATGTCTATACGATAAATACGAAGCTACAGCCAGCATAAAAACTGGAAGCAGCTTGCCTGGCTCTGTCCAAAGGTAAAAATATGCACCTACCAGCACCTCTTGTTTAATAAATACAAAAAACTATTTTGCTATCTTTAGGAAGAGCCAAGATAGGTGTTTCCAGTTCTTAACTGGCAGCTAGCTGTGGCTTCATATTTAACAAGATATGAGAGTGGTATCAAGAATTTTTCTAAAATATCAAAAGCACACTTGAATTATGAGTAATTTTTATTTTGAGTATTGTATTATGAATAGATTTGCTAATTGATGCTTCTTTAGGTAGTTCAAATTTCCCTTTGAAATTTTCATATAAGCTTCCACCATCTCCTAAAAGTGGGAGGAGCACATGAAATCATTTTAAAAAGCCTGTCCTGTCTATATATATTAATTTATTTGTGTCAGTCATTTTAAAATGTTAATTGTCATTGAGAAACTGCAGGCAGGTGTCCCATTTGTCAGCGATGTTCATACAAGTCAATGAAATTGGAGACCAATTTCCTGGGAAGTCATATTGAAGCCATTATAGTTATGCAAGTGAAGCTGCCATTTTTCAGATACTGTTCATGGCTCCAATATAGCGCCATAGTGTTGCAACTAAATTATACCTCTGCCAAGGAAGCAGCAACCTGCTTTACACTGAATGGTTTTAACAAGGTGAAAGCCTTGGGAGTTTTCTTACTGCCACTAAACACTCAGTGCCACAAGGGGGAAATTAATGGTCTTTGGAAGAGGACCTGATATAGAGGGAGTGCTTAATTTACCAAGCCACCTGAGATTCCGGTTGAGTAAAAGCAGGCCCTATAGTGACACACTTACTCCTTGGTGACAGTGTGTGTGCATGTGTGTGTGGATTTGTATGTGAAAGAGATGCAAAGAAACACAGTGCCAGAGAAAGTTAGAAAGAAGTGTGTGTGTGTTGTGTGTGCATGTGCATTTGTCCTTGTGTGTATGTGTGTCTTTAATGTAACTGTGTATATATGTGTCCAGCCAGATCCTTTGAGCTTTGGGCTGGACATCAAACATAATACTCACACAGACGGCACATTTTATGCTGCCATTCCTGGTCTCTCGACAGCACCAATGAAGCTTTTTCAACCTTCTTTCTTTTTGTCTCTTCTTCTCTCTTTCTCCTTCTCTTTCTTCTTGTCCTTCACAGTTAAATAGTCTCCCTGCTTGTCTAGCTAAACATTTGCATCCATGCCCGTCTATCTGCCACTACTAGCCCTTATCACTTATCTCCTGCTGTGGGCCAACCTACTGAGACGAGCTTCTGTTGACATTCACGAGCACCACCCAGCTGTCACTCTCTCCCTCAGTCTCTCCGACCTGCTTGTCACATTGCTGCTGTTTACTGCTTCTTTCTCTCTTGTCTGAGCACTTTTTTCTTGCTGGTAGGAGTGTGTTTCCTCCGTGTGCTGCTGGCAGACAGAAGCAAACATGTTTCTTTATTTTAAAATAATATTCTGCCACTGCTGCAGGGGCCAGTGCACCACTGCATTGTATTGATTTATTAATGAAATCTGCATGAATATTAATGGAGGTTCAAGGATATTTATCTTTTTAATTTAATATACATTAGGGATATAGATGAATGCACAGCCCTGCCAAGTCCGGCTAAATGTTCCAATGTGTGACACATTGAAGTGACATTAATATTTTTTTAACAAAATATTTCCTGGCAGGTATCAGTTACTAGAAGGTTCTTGCGCCCCAAAGAGTCTTATTGTAAAGAACCAAAAACTCCCTACATAAACATTATCAACTGTGTAATATAAAATATCTTCTTCTTTTAAAAAAGTTGAAGGTATTGTGTGCCTAAGAGAAGTCCAGGGTGGATTAAATTTTGAAATAATTCAGCAATTATAGCGTTGTGTTTTGTTCACAAATACAACAACCGAGTGTTTTTGAATTTGAATGTCTTCTTCTCCATAGCAACGATGCAGGCTCGTGGGTATTTAGACCCATGTCAAACTGACTGACAAAACATAAAATCACTGAACTGATGCTCAGAACATAACAATACATGCTTCACCATAATATGCTTATTTGAGCTGCTTATTACATACATACCACCTAAGCAAACAAATGCGTTTTGTTATAGATTCCTGCATTATAATTACATTGCACTGTAAATAACATGAATGCAGATGAAGAACATGATCAACTTTAATGTTTAGCAAAATCCAGAGTATCCAGGTCCCATAAGAATTTACAACCTATGTCAATCCCTGACTATCCTGGACAATTGACTGTAGTTCCCATGTTACACTGCGTTTAAAGAGCTCCATCATTAATAAGATTTACTGCATCGTGTCAGTCCGCTTTGTTGGCAACCCATCTCACAGTGACCTTGAGCCGTGTGTTACCTGAACACAAGCCAAGGCATTATTTCCACAGTGCAGGTATAGTACTATACGGGGTGACGTAGAGTCAATTTACTACACAATAACCCACTGTAAAGTCTCACACCACAAGGGCGTAGCTTTGTGAGCTATAAAACATCTGTTAACAAACCTTAAAATACACAATAAAATAGACATGGCATGTGGCGCTTTTTAGCAGATAATTAGGAAATGTCCTGGATGCAAGCTTGAGTGAGGTAGAGCGTAGCCAAAGCACTGCTTCTGTACTTCGTAACAGTTCTGCAGCAGCCAGTTCTGCTTTAAATGTTGTGAACCAGAACTGCTCAAACTACTAGTTTTACACTCTTCCACTGGGCCTTAGGGTTTAAAATAAAGCCCATCATCTATATTATCCCAAAAAGTATTCTTTAATGATAAATCTATAACGGCTCCAGGTGCGCTAAAAAGAGGTTCTTCTACAAAGGACAATGCTGTAATACTGGCACACTCACTGTGCAGACAAATTTTACCAAGGTCAAATGACCCAACAGTATGCCCCACGGGTGCATACACTGCTTTCATTCTATTCAGCAGTAGACAACTATTACAGAATATTAAAGTCTCTCAATGTAACTACTGGCAGGTACAACTCTGTACAGGGAGAAAAGTTAATGATATAGCAGTTGTGCTTCCATGATGTTGTGCTGATTAATTGCAATGAACACATCTTTGCCTTCTTTACTGTTAATTAAAGAGTAAATGATGACAAAAATTAAAAAAACTCATTCAAGAGGAACAAGCTGTAACATTAGCAGTTATAAATAAGCCATGGCTTTTAATGTGTTCAAATGAGTGAGTTATTTTTTCAAAAGATACCAATTTTTTTTTTTTAACTCTATATATGAATAACTAAAGACTGAACAGAAGATAGTTTTTTTAAATGATATTATAAGCCCAGATAAAATCTGAGTAAAACACAAAGCATATAACCATATTTATGCACTAGCGGTGATACTAACATACTGCTTTCTGGTGAGTTGACCTCGAGGTTCAGAAAGTAAACTGTCACTTGAGATCATCATGCTATTCAGCAGAAGCGACAAAAGCACAACTAACTCTTCCTGCCACAACAAACCACCGCTGTCCTTTGGATATCTGCTGATGTTTGGACTGCAGAAAAGTAGATTTCATTTGTAAGACATGCCTGCTACTGTGAGGAAACACAGGGCTTGGACATTAAAACACACACACACAAGTCTGCTTCAAAAAAATCAAGTAATATAAAAATATAGTTTGGTTTTCCAGGTGAAAAACAACCAGGTGTGATTCAGAAAATGCAGTGATTGACACTGTTTCTTTCAGTTGTGAAGTTTTATGACACAAACATTTTTTATCCTCTTCTCTTTCATCATAGCCAGCAGCTGCCTCTGCTCCTTTCATCCTCAGGATTTTTTCAGCACTGAAGCCAGCATAATACAATGGCATGTCATTGTCAGCTCTCTGTGCTTCAGATTAGTGGCATTTTGTCTTTAGGCAAGCTTTCCCACACTCTGGCCCACTAGAAATTGGATCAATGGATCTTTAGGTCAATGTGTAGTTTTCCAATCCTTTCATCTGGCAGTTGAAGCAGAAGCTGAACTTAGATATATACCCCATTGACAGCAATTCTGAGGACGAGGGGGGAGGGGGGGGGGGGGGGGGGGGGGATTGTGAGATTGAGACGACCCTGACAGAATCAGGCAACACACTCTCAGAAATTAAGAGGGAGGAGAGCAGCAACATCAAATTGCTGTTCAGGACGAATCCAGCACTGAAGTAGCCTAGTTGCTGCAGCAGGGGGTGAATGTAAATGGTCACTTATTAAAAATACATGGGCTCTTTTGTTGGAGCCTTGTGTTAAAACCATCAAATCACAGAGACGCTCAGGGAATGCAATCAATTCTGGAAATTCAATGCATGACTTGGAATGCACTCATAAAACATAATGAGCAATTTCAAAACAAATGAACTGACTGCATTCCCAGAGCTGAGATGGGGCAAGAGGCAAAACTGTGCCAAAGCGTGCCTACTTTTATAGTGATTTTGGATATAGCCTAATGCGCACGTCAGCTAGCCTACCTTGATGACTTTGCACCTGATCTGCGCGGACACCATATGGCTGTTCCGCAGGTTCCCCACTCGGAACATGAGGCACAACTTCCCGTCCCGCTGCGAAATGACCGCGTCCTGGCTGAACATAAGCGTCTCCGCGCGCTTCTTCGGCTGCGACATCTTGATGAACATGCAGCCGATGAGGAAGGCGTCCACGATGGAGCCAAGCAGCGACTGGAAGAGGAAGAGGATGATACCTTCCGGGCACTTCTCTGTGATGTAGCGGTGGCCGTAGCCGATGGTCGCCTCCGTCTCGATGAAAAAGAGGAAAGCGGAGGGAAAGTTGTACACGTTGGCGACGCACGGGGTGTATGATTCTTCGTGGCCGCCGTGGCTCAGGTCGCCACGGATGTAGGCTATGACCCACCACATAGAAGCCATCACCAGCCACGCAACTGTATAAGTGAGGATGAAAATGAGTAGGTTCCAGCGCCACTTGAGATCCACCAGCGTGGTGAAGAGATCGGAGATGTATCGGCTCGTCTCCCCGCCAAGGTTACCGTGCTGGACATTGCAGCGGCCGTTCTTCTCCACAAACCGCTGCCTCTTTCTCTTGACCGGTGCGGAAAAAGTAACGCTTTGGTTGGTGTTTACCACCTGGTAATCCTCCCCAAATTTCCTCCTTATGGCTGACATTGTACCAATCACCTACTTATGACAAGAAATCAATACTTGTGTAGAAACGGGATGTTTACGCAAGTTTGGTAACCCCTGCCCAAACACCATGCAGTAACATTCAGCGCGCGACTCTCATTCTGTGAGATGGAGATGCGCCTCTCTCCCGTAAATTAGTCGTAAGGGAGCAGAGATTCTGCGCAATACATGATTCAGACTCGGGCCTTTTACGCAAAGGACTCTCCCGCAAGTTCCAACTTATTGTCCCTGATCTCATCCATTGAGAGGGGGGGAACACATTCGAAAGCAGCCCACATTTAAAAAAAAACAAGCTGTATTCAAATAGCTCGATTCAAAGGCTGCGTCCTTGGTGGCTCCACGGAGATATTGTTATTCAATAAACCTGTGAATGTGAATTGCAGGCTACAGCGCGCACTTCTAAGGGAACATGCTCTGGTACGAGTGACTTCAAATTGTGTGAACAGTTGAGGAGCTGCAGCACGCAGCTCTCTCTCTCTCTCTAGGGGGGCTGGTGTGGAGTTACAGAGAAGGAAACTCTGTGTGTGTGTGTGTGTGTGTGTGTGTGTGTGTGTGTGTGTGTGTGTGTGTGTGTGTGCGTGCGTGTGTGCGTGCGTGTGTAAAAAAAATAAGAGTGCAGCAAACACTGTAACTGTGAAGCATTCCAGTCTTTCTTTACACATAGCTATGTGTTTCCCCAGTTGCCTAACTGGTTCTTCTATAGTGATTGGCGGCTATTTGGTCCCCCCTAGTGTTGCTGCAGTAGAAGTGAGCCAATAGATGCAGGAACCGCATTATAGCCTACAGCACGGAATTTGAAGTTACTGTTACAGACAGATGGTAAAGAAATGTCACAGCAAAACTACACATGTTCATTGGAATATTATAGGAATATAATGGAATAGGTTACTATAACAAATCAGATAAGCTTCATACCAAAGCCCTATGGGGATATTAACAAAATGAATGTGGCTATTTGTTGCCAAAACTCAACACAATTCGAATATGGAATCATTACTGTGGACTGAGTAGCTCTCCAGTGATGGCAGTAATGTGATCAACTCCATGTCTGTTCTGTGTTTTTTGTGTCGGCTATGTGTATAGACCGGTTGTAAGATTGTATCAGACCTCTGTGAAAGCAGGTAATGGCACTAGTCCCAAGAGGAATATCAGATTTAAATGCATAGAGAATTTCGCAACATTGGGATTTCCACTGTAGCTGTTTCACCATTGCATCTTCTCACCCTCTGAAAACATCCCACGTACCTTGTTATTTAATTAACTGATAAATAAATAAATAAAGACACATGAGGCAGATAGGGAGTACAGAAAGAGGGAGACATCCAGTTGGCCAGCAGGAAATGAAGCATTCCACAAAATGAGTTGTTCAGTATTAGTAGACAAAATAAAACAATTGAAAACAAAATGGAAAAACGCTTTTGTATGAACTGTGGCCAAAAAGGCATACAATGACTATTCACTTATGCAGTTTTTAACCTTTTTACAGCAATGGGTGCATCAGATTGTCAGATCATGAAAAGTGTTTTAGTTGTTTTTTTTTACCTAACAGATGTACTACACATGACGAGTCTGCATACTTGCATGTGTAACATCACTCAGAAAACAGGGGGAGTGAGCTGATGAGTCAACTCTAAATGTAATGTGCCGCAGTTGCATTGAGCTGTTTAATTTTTTATTATTTGTTTATCAAGTGAAAACCTTATTGCTTTAAGCTCCACAGAAGCAACATTTTAACTCACATGCCATGAACTGATGACTGCACGTTATGATAAGCTGATAACTGGCAATTCCAGGTTGATAACCACATGTATTTATTCAGTTAATGATTAAAGAGATCACTAAGATTGTTTTGTCGGTGGCTCTTGACTGTTGACAGAAAATCATTTTAAGTATGCTATATGAACTGCAGAAATACCTTAACTTTTTCTAATATCTGCTGATATTAAATACCAACTGAAAATGCATTACTGGACAAAGAAAAGCTCTCAAGAATTATTATGTAAGAAATCAAAATAACCAGTTCTAGTGAGCCGCAAATGCAGTACCTCTACATTTAAAAGGAAAGGACACATCACAGTGAATCCATCACACACCGACAGAATATTTTTTATTCAGTCTAAGGAATAACATTACAAAGCTCCATGAACACAGACCCACTATTTGCCACTGCAATAAAGTGAGCAGCTAATAAAACAGGAAGAGTCGAAGTCATGAAAGGATTTTGTCACGGTTGGATTAATCTATGAGGTGGCCCCTATCGACCGCCACCATCACCTTTTATTTAGGCATATGCATAGTGCGAGGTAATCAAAAATAAAAGTCTTTTAGACTTTCTACAATGTAGAGCCACGACACAAGGTCTTAATGTAGGATCCACCTTACTTGATAATGACTACAGTGCAGCAAATTCACTGATTACATTTGTATTTTATCAAATTACTTAAAATCAATTCACAGTGAAGCTGGGGCTTTTGGGGCCCGTGGGGGTCTGGGGCTCCAGGTGGATGTCTGCTTTGCCAGTTGGTAATCCAACGCTGATCTGTATTGGCACTAAGCAATTGCCAGATATCCGTGCACAGTTTCTTCATCCATATCATTATTAAAGTCACTGTTTCCCCTACCATTCAATGGCAGGATGGTGATTCAAATTGTAGGGCAAGATTTAACATTAACAAGAGAACACTGGTATCAGATAGGAAAATTGGTATCAGCAGATACCTTGAGTTGAGGTATCTGGAGAGAAAAGCTAGGTTGCTGCATCTCTAAATTTGTGTATGTGAAACATGTCTGTGAAAGCCTCAGCTGGATTGCATAAGGGTAGGTGATCATACTGCCACTTTGGCAAAAGTCTGTGTATAGAAGGACAAAAAACTTTTTAAGAAAAAAACATATATCATGCATGCAATCAAACACACAAATTACAACCTAAATTATCACCACTGTTTACTGTCTGTAAACTGCCTGTATGTCTTGAAATTCGAGAACAAGGGTAAAATTTGTTGCAGGGTGATAGTAATGTGCTACTTTGCATTTCATCGTATTTGTTACACCGACTCACAATGTACAAAACCAGAAATACTGAAAAAAAATTAAGTAAACATACTATAACAGATTTAAAAAAAACTTTACAGGTAGGCTAATATAAAGTTGCTAAGTACCATTTAAATAAATAAAGGAACATCTTATCATATCTTACCTTATTCGTGCCTACATGAACCCAATTTCACAACAGTTCAACACTACAGTGAGACTGATATAATGCACATAATACACAGAAGTGTTAGAACGTAGCATTAAATTAAATCTATCCAACATTGTAAAATGAAGAGTGAGTTTGAGCAGGGGATGCTGTTTAAAGAAAATAGCAAGTTTTCCTTGTCCGTGTCCTGAATGACATACAGAGACAAAGAGTTGCATGTCTCTCTGCATTACAGTATGTGTTCGTGTTAATGTATCCAGTGTGTTTACTTTACTATAGAGAACACGGCTACTTGTCCGGTCAGGTTCTCTCAAACCTCAGCAGCCTTCGCCTGTCTCCTCTCACGACCCGTCCTCTACACCCATAATTCCCCGCGCCAAGACAAGATGGAAGAAAGCTGCGACCGCCGGAGAACAATGTTTTGGCAATAAAACCCCAAAGCGGCGAATACGGAGAGAGTATAGGCACGTTTGAAACCAACTGCGATCATGTGTAGGTGAGTAGGAAACTAAATGGGCTTTTATTCGTGGCGAATGCTTTGGATTTGTCGAGATTTAAGCGACGGAATTGTCTCGGCTCGGCGCAAACGGGAGATGCACTGAGACCCAGCATCATTGTTTCTGTTGCATGGGCCGTAATGCGGGTTTTCAGTCGGGGCAGCTAGCAGCTAACTAGCTAGCTCATGGCAGCCCCGATTGTTATAAACACAGCTGCTTTAACGCGCACATCTTTATTTAGTTCGGTCACTGGAACTGGAGTCCACATGTACCGCAGTCGCCGAGGAATGTTTTGCTAGCTAAAAGCACTGGTAAGCGTTATCCGGTAGTAATTACCGCTAAAGTTAGCTAACAATAAATAGAGCGCCAGCGTTGCTCCGAGCCAGACAGATTTGATTTCACGAGCGTCATCAAAGCTTGGGAATTGGAGAATGAGCAATTTGTGCCTCTGATCTGACTTTAAAGCGATCTTGCTGTTAATTTCACTTTATCGCCTGCTGTTGTGTGCTTTTTTTCATCAGAGAAATGAATTATGTGGCATTTTAGGATGCTCGTCCTATATAATTACCGTTTAAAAAGTCAACATATGCGATGATGGCATCAAATCGTGGATCCTATTTTAGCGTTAGCTAGCTTGATAGCAACACCAGGTAGTAAGCTAAACGTTACGTTACATTGGTCGTAACGTATGAATTTAGAAATGTATCGACTACAAATGCGGCTTATTTCAGATCTAATGTATTTGAGTATTGATGTGTCTTTATTTGATGGCAGGTTGTGGTTTTTAGGACGTCTTAGCCGATTGTTTTGATTAATGACTATTAAGATGCGTTGAGTGTCTCATTGTGGGTAGCTAACTACGCTAACTAGCTGGCTAACTATTATGCATCACAAAAGCCCATCCGCTTTCTGTTGAATTCAGGGTTGCGTAGCCAAATGGTCGACTGGGCTAGACTAAACAATAAATTCTCACCCCAGTCATTCTTGTGTGCATGTTTCAATGCACGTAGGTTAACTTACTGCTCACTCACCCGACTGCCCAAAATGACCCAAATATCGTTTGTTTTAGGCAAGTGTGGAGAACCGATTAATTTGCCAGTATTCCAAGCGATACCCCCAGCTTTTGCGTTCATGTTGGCTTATTAGCCAAAAGACGGCCAGCAGTGTTGTCCAGCATGCATCAAAGTGAGAATACAATAGTGATGTCTGTCTAAAAAGCTATCAAGCTACTGCAGAGATTTTAATTTGGCTACAGTCCAAGTCACATGTGGGGCTAAATGTGGCACGTAGAACAATAAAATTTTCAGAAGCATATATATATACGTTTCAGTGCTAAAACCTGTAATCTGATGGAGTGCTGAGCTTCACATATTGATTAAAGTCACTTCATAAAACCCCCATCTATAATTATGTTATAAACCAGATTTTGTTTTCATTTAACCAATACCTAGGAACATATTGACTGCATTAATTTGTCTTCTATTAAAACTTTAACTAATCTTATGTTGTGGATATTATAAACAAATTATTTTATATAAGATATTTTCATCTTCAAGCTCAGATGGCCAATCTCCATTTCGTTTCATTTAGGGTTTGATATGGAATTTAGTAGCTGGTAATGGTTAGCTCCCAACTATTTGTAACATAATGATTGTGATAGTGTTTAAGCTTTGTCATGCTACTTAGTGGTTAGGTCCAACTATTTATAACACACTGATTGTGATAGTGTTTAAACTTTGGCATGCTGCTTAAGTAAACTGTGCCAAATGTCTGGTGCTGTGGCTGAGATAAAGAAATGGAATGACCAGTAATCGCCTTGATGTTAGTAATCTGTGCAGTATATTGCGTGTCTGCATTATCTCTTCTTCTACACTTGGTCAGTCGCCCTTGATACACGAATCACAATATATTATTAACAACATGTATTAATTTCACTGTTAAATGTTTCACTATGATGTGCTGTATTTCACAAGTTTGCACAAAGCTAGATATTTTATTTTAGAGGTTTCTCATCACTTGGGATTTTCTCAGGGTAAATTATATGTATTTTGTGCAAAGTGTTCATTAAGGATTCCAGTTACTGTACCCAGTGCCGGTAAAGCCTAATAAATCCAATTAAGTAAAGAATAGGCCACTGAGTAAATTCAGAGAACACTGTAGTACACACTGTCGACGCCATGTAGCAGTGACAACATCTTAACTGGCAAGACTTTGGATTGTATATTTATTCATGTCTGAAAATGTCAGTACTTAACAACTATTTTTGTCTGCCCTGTCTTTCAGGATGTTCTTCCCCTTCATTCCTGTTTAGATTTATTGCCCTCCTTCTTACCTGCACAAAGCAAAACCACCACCATGAGTATTATCCAAGACAAATTGGGCAATGAGTTTTTGCGTAACGGTGGCATGGACCCCAATTTTGCACCAGGTATGCTTATGTTCAGCCACCTGCCACCTGTCACCAGCTTCACACGGCTGGCCTCCCAGTCCGTTATGGGCGAGCTGCCCCAGGAGATGATCCTGAAGAAAGAACGTGACTCGCCCCCAGAACACCAGGGCGTCACTGGTGGGAACACAGGGGGCTTCCTCCAAAGCATGGGCATTAAGCAGGAGCGGCTAAGCGAGCTGGATTACCGTATGCCCCTGTATGGTGGGGGTGGAGGAGTAGGGGTGAACTGTGCTGGAGGGGGCGCGGGGAAGAGTGGTACCGACATGCCGGACATGTCTTTCGGCAACCACCACCAAAATCACCAGAATATGCTTCTGCATGATCTCAGCCTCGGCAACGTTCGTTCCCTTGGAGAACCGGTAAAAATTGGTTGTGGTTCTAAATATGGTTTCAAGTGATAAATTGTTGATATTTAGTTTCCACTCTTACTGCTTAAGCAGGAATTGTTATATAAATGCCTTTATTTATAGACCTTTGTTTACCCTGCAGCAGTGATTGCTGCCTGTAATGGTTATTTGTGGTATATTTACCTTGTTGTTTGTGCTCAGGTGCCTGGAAGACCGGGCAAAGAGCCAAAAGAGTCCTCGGGTAGAAGAGGGCGAAGGAGCAATGGGGATGGGCAGGGAGGTAAAGCACGAAGGAAACGCAACGATGCTGCAAAGGTTAGTCACTTAATCTGCTTTCATCATGTCCTTCACTACACCAGGGGGAAAAATGTGGTGTCTTACGTCGTCAATGCTTTTATGCTCACATGATGTGGAAAAGTCAACAGTATATGACTTGTACTATGACTTGTATGGTTTTCACCTTGTAGGCCATGATGTTGGATGCAGATGGAGCCTGCCTGTCCCCCAGCTCAAAACCACATATCTGTGAGCACTGTAATGCTGCCTTCCGCAGCTCCTACCACTTGCGCAGACATGTGCTCATACACACAGGTAAGAGACATTCGCTGCTCATCAGTGCTTTACTTTTCCCCCAGACTCAGTATTTTCCTAGAATTTATATATTTGAAGTGAAATATGTTTTAACCAGCTACATCCTCTACTTTATTCCACAAATGCACCATCGCTCATGTTGCTGATCAGATCTGTTATGCTGAAGAAAATGTATTTAGGATGCACACAGTACGCGTTAAGTCAGAGAGAGCTGTAGGAGGCAGTGTCTGTTCTCTCTGCTACACACGAGAGGTTTATGTCTGACGAATACAGCTGACAAATCAAAATTGTTAGAAAAATATGCTATTTTTGGAATTTTGATTATATATAGAGCCCCAGATCAATTTGCTTACAATCTGGTATAATGCCATGTTACCAAGGTTTGACACAGGGAGGAAAAAACACAATTCACCCTGAATTAATATAGCATTTATGGAACAAAATCCACCTCAGACATTAAATTTACTGCACTCTTTATTACCCTCTACTACTAATTTCTCCACCTCACCATGAGTGCTCGGGTCCTTATTTGAAACCAGACAATCACAAAAGCCTGGAGTGACTCAGTGATTACTCATGTATTTCTGGATGTCTTAGTCATCTCTTTGCTGGGAATGTCTCACTCTGTTCTTTGAATTTGAGCTCATAAATGATTTCAGGAAAAAACATTTTTTTTTTTACAACCTCAGTTTATTTTAAGTTTCCCTTGCTTTGTCCTTTTATAAATGTAACTTAATCTGATAAAGGGTCTCTGAAGTCTAGAGTATTTGTATGTCACAATTTAGACATGGGGAAATAAGATTTTCTTGTAAAAAAAAAAAAAATGTGGGCCGTTGTTTCTGTAAATGAGTCTAATTTTGATGTGTATTCATGCGCTAGGTGTGAAATGATAAATGCCACAGGTTCATTATGACACAATACACACAGTTATAAGACAGGCTGGACGTTAATTAATGTGGTGAGCGGATTGGTTGTACTCTTGATCGCACAGGTGAGAGGCCTTTCCGGTGCAGCCAGTGTAACATGAGCTTCATTCAGAAATACCTGCTCCAGCGGCACGAGAAGATCCACAGTGGTGAGTTTCTGCATTTGGGTATATAGTATACTCAAGTGTTTTGGAATTAATGCCTTCGCTTGTCACCAGTATCAGTGCATACAAACGTTGCTGGTGTGACACAAGCCCCAACACTGTCACCTCTGTCTTTTGCAGGAGAGAAGCCTTTCAGCTGTGACCAGTGTAACATGCGTTTTATCCAGAAGTACCACATGGAACGACACAAAAGGACACACAGTGGCGAGAAGCCCTATCGCTGCGATACCTGCCAACAAGTAGGCTATGTGTAGACTGTTTGCTAAGTAGCTTACTGCTGTTTTCCCATTTAATTTTGTGTGTTTTGGCAATTGGCTTTGTATATTCTTCTTTTAATGCTTTTTAGAAGGATTTTTATTCAATAGTGTGTGTGTGTGTGTGTGTGTGTGTGTGTGTGTGTGTGTGTAAAAGTAACTTAAGTTATTAAAGCCCTGTCTAAATGGGATTAGTTAGGAAATAAAATGTTCTCTCAGAAATTCAATGGTTATATAATCCAGCTACTTTCCTTTTGCAGTATTTCTTATGCTTTTAAATTAAAACCAAGGATTTAAAAAATACTTTTGTCCATCCGGTGGAAGCTTATATTTCTCTCTTTTCCTCTTCTCTTAAATTCTTAGTTTTTCTCAAGAACAGACCGGTTACTGAAGCACAAACGGACTTGTGGAGAAGCCATAAAGAAGGGCCTGGACCCAAGCATGCTGGAGCTCAGCGACGCAGAGCTAGGCCATGGCAGCTATTCACTCACTCAGGGAAACTCTACCACCTCCGGACGCAAGAGGGCCAAGTCCAAAAACGGCGAGGGTGGCGAGCGCAAGAGGAAGAAGAATGCCTCTGCATCAGCAGCCTCGTCCTCTGGGGGGATGGCCCGTGACCTGGACCTGCAGGACTTCAGCATGGAGCACCCCTCAGGTTCTAGCCCCGCCATGCAGGGACGTGCTCCCAAATTGGTCTTTAAAAAAGCTGGCCGCAAAGGTCTGGACAAGGGCCTCCTCTCTCTGGAAGATGGTGCTGATGGACAAAAACATTTGGGCCAGAAGCCTGGTTCCATGGATCATGTGGAGGATTCTGGCCTTGATAACATGGGTCTACTCCATGGAGCCGGGGGCAACAAGCAGGGGCCCACCACCAGCAGCAACTACGATGATGCAATGCAGTTTGTGAAAAAGCGGCGCTACCTCCACGCAGTTAACAATGACTATGGAGCCGGCTCACTGCATATGGCACCCCAAGGCAGTAGTGTAATCCAGGGCTCCATGGGGCCTGAGCCCACACTGGCTATGCTGGACTCGTCTCCTTTGGAGCTCAAGCATGACAAGTCAGGCATTCCAGATGAGGTACTACAAAGCCTGCTAGACCATTATAGCCATAAGCCAGAGGGTGGACACCACCATGACGTGACATTCGACCTGTCAGACCACCCACACCACGTGGACCTCCAGCCGGCAGCCCCTGTTACCCCTGAGCTGGAGGATGACTCGCCCAACGGTGGTGACAAGACGGCCGTGATGAGCGAATACTCCAAGTTCCTCCTGCAGGCCCTGGAGCGCACCAGCCATAGTGGTCCCTTCCCCAGCCTTGGCCCAACAGGGCCTTTTCCACTCCTGTCCAGCAGCTCCAGTCCCACGGGGCCCCTGTTCTCCGACAAGCACGTGTACTCCACATCCCCGCTGGATTGTGGCTATCCGCCTGCTGTCTCCTCCCCACTGCCCATCGTTGCCCCTTCATCAACCACCTCCTCGTCCTCCTCCAAGTCCCACTATGGCATGCTCGTCGGCTCCCCCTCCCAGGCAGGCTACCACCTCAGCTTGGAACCTACAAGCCACCAGCAGTTGACTCCGTCTCAGGAGCTGACCGAGCAGTTGGAGAAGCAGCACTCCCCCGGCACCTTCAACCTACCTCCCCAGGACCTCACTGCCCCGGGAGAGGGCTCCAAGGGGCAGCAGCCCAAGCCTGGAGGGGGAGCTGCACCCACCAACGGCTCCAGCTACCCAGACCTGTCCCCACTGAACCCCCCTAAAGAAACCACGTATCAGATCGAGAACTTCGCCCAAGCCTTTGGCTCCCAGTTCAAGTCAGGACGGCGGACCCCTCTGGGCTATGGCAGTGATCCTGGGGCAGAGGTCGACCACCGAATACGGACTCCAGTGTCAGAATTCTCAGGGTATACCAGTTTGTTAGCTGACGTCAGTGAGCCAGTGAGTACAGGATCAAAAACCCCGACAAGCCAAAGTTTCAGATAAGGGTCAAACGAGGTGAATCCAGTAGGGGGCTGTTCTGTTGCTGTCCATGCGGTCCCCATACCCATCCTAATTTTGTTCTTGTAGCAAAGTTTGTTTTTTAAACACTGCCATTAAATGTTAATACAGAAACGACCAGGGAGGGTCTTCATGGCCTCAAATGCAATTTTTTTAAAAATATTCTCATTTTTATTATGTATTTAGCCGCTCAAGTTTTGTTTAAGAGTAGTGATTTTGATATGAACGTACCGTAGATTTAAATGTAATTTAAAACATTTAGAGGGTAGCTATAAACTTGCTTGATTTTATTTTTTTATTTTTTTTTCTGAACCCTTGTGTTTTACCAATCATCATACCATTGTAAAGTAATAATGAACTGTGTTGATAATTACAATAATAACATTTGTGGCAGGGAAAGGCCCAGAATTCAAATGGCAAAAAAAATATATTGTCTGTTACAAGAAACGTATTAACTCAGGAAAATAGGCAAAATTGTGTAATAAGACTTTGTATTATGAGATGCAATTAGCACAGTTTTTACAGGTGTACTTTGAGACTACAATGCTTTTGATTTTGTGTTTTTTATTTTCTTTTTAAACTGGTCAGAACAACAAATTACAATACATTATCATGTTTGGTTTCTGCTGCGTGTAGCTTTGTTGAGATTATGGTACTGTTGCGTCAATGTGAAGCCATCCACATTTCTTTCGAGAGCCACACAAGATAGTATAAATGGTAGTGGAGTTCAGCCCACAGTGCGCACACGCCATCTTCTGAAGTGAAGAGGATGTTTGAACATAACCGCCTGTTGTTTTGTCGATGAAGCCTGTCTAACCATGCACTCCTCTGGTTTGTGCCCGCCAGTAGAAAAGATGCAGTTCAGACAAAATCTAACCCACTGCTGTTACAGCAGTCTCAAAATGCAATGAACATCAATCTGTGATCTTTTCCTCATGCTGTTGCTGAAGTGATTTTTTATTTTTTATTTTTAAACTAGTCACCACTTTTTTACTCCACTCCTTGCTGTTCCTTTTTGTGTTCGGTGGAAATCAAACAAGCACTTTTTAAAAATAAGTCATCCCACAACAACAACCCATTCAATTTGCATATGTGAGAAGTGATAATTATGCTAATGGTAATTAATATTATTATAAGAGGAGAAAACTGTGAACAGGGGGGAAGGGCGGGGGGTGAGGGTGGGTGGGTGGGTTGAGTGGGAGGAAGGGGAGGGCCGGGTTGGGTTTGATAAGGGTTGACTAGGCATGACCATGGGCATCTAAATGTATTTTGTTGCCGTTTCTCAAGGGTAGACGGGGGGTGAGGGGTGGGTTTCTTTCGGTTTGTCGGGTGATATTGTAAAAAGATGATTTGCCATGATTTTGTTATACAATATTTTGAGAGTACCTCTTTGTATTTAAGTGTTTTGAGAGACGGGCTGACATGCTGGAACCCTTATATCTTTAAGCCCCTGGGTATGTCTGAAGCATACCCAAACCCTTTTATTTATTCTCCACTAGCCACAACAGAACTCATTAGCAGATATTTTTGGGGGGGCAAGTAATCACCGGACCTAGACCTCTACCCCCCCTTTCCTCTACTTTTTTATATATATATTTTTTAACCCCATGGTTATTGAAACTGCTTCAATAGTACAGTTAAGAAACAAAAAAAAGTTAACTTATTCCCACCTCCCCTACCCAAAATGCAGCCCTGCACTCCCAAGAATAAACAATGGCCTTCTTTGTCTTCCGTGGCTAAAGCCATTTTATCCCGGCAGCCAGGGTTGATATTTAATTTAGTTGATTTCCTGTGAGCTGACCCCCCACCCCCACCCCCCTCCCACACACACCCTTTCCTTTTCCTATGTCTGTGAGCTCCACAGCCAAGAGACTTTGAAGCTGCTCAGATCACAGGGAACAAAGACTGACCAGCCACCTCACTCCAAACACACACTATGCTTTTAAAGGAGAGGAAAAAGTGGGTGAGAAACGGAGAGAGGAAAAAAAAAGAAGACAATAAGATTGACCTAAATATACCTCATATCAGTAAAGCTTAAGAAAGCAGGGACACGCGTTTCATGTATGTAGTGGAAATACTTGTAGTTTAGGTTCAACATATTGTATAATCATTTAACACTGCCTGTGTTTACAATTATAGAGCAAGTGACTCGTCAAAATGCAATTTTTGTTTTTGTTTTTCTGTAAAAACATCCACGCCAAGCAGTGTTGCATTCTAGATGCCTCATAGAACATTAATTTGTTTCTTGTTATATCCCTTATTTTTGTTACTTGCCATAATGTGTTTTGATATGATCTCTAGAAGGATATTGTTTACAAAAATGTACAAAAAACACTAAAATTGTGTGTTCTCAATTTTTTTTTTTGAGTTTTTTTCCTCCAGTATGCATGATAAAGACATTTTTGGATGGCTTTTTTTTTCTGACTGTCACCTCAATACCAAATTTTGTAGCAGAAGCCTCCCCATTCCTTTGTCTTATTTGTTCTAGACCCCTCTGTGATATGATTTCCCAGGCTGTACCTGTTATTGAGATGATGAACGGATTAGAGAAGCCAATAAAAACTTTTTGTTACAAAAAAAGTACATGGTGTGGGATTTTTGTCTCAGAAACACTGAAAATCACTGATTCCACAACACTTCAGAAATAGCATTTTGACAAATGACTTAATCCCATTTGGTCTGCTGTATTAGAGACAAATGTTTGAACTGTTGGGCAATACTAGTTGATTTTAACTAACCAGGACTGGGCATGTTATTGAAAAACAGTTCCATCTTTGTCCCAGCCAAAATGGCAGCTGCACATTGGACATGAAACAAGAGGCAGACTATAAGGTGATTAAAAATGAAGTGAATACAAAACACAAGAACAATACGATCATTTAAGATAAATGATGTGCTGTAGATTAAAATAGTTTTTTTTAAAAGACTTCACATTGGTGAATGTACCTCGTTTTTGTTTTTCAACCAGAGTGACGAACCAAAGTCATGGACGTTTTTTGCGTTACCGCCGAACAAGAACAAGACGTCAATCTCCAAGGTAATTCTGCTTTTACTGGTTATTTTTTGCATAACCGTGTTGAGACACTTTTACCACTTCATGTCTCTGTTTCGTTACTTTCGCGCGTCCTTTTTCTCGCGCTCATGTACTTTTTCAGGCTGAAACAACAGAACCGGTTCGTTGTATGTACAATATTCCCAGCATCCTTTCACATTCGTGTTTTATCACCATGCACAATTCATATAGTAGCTTACAGAGCTAGCCTTTTTTGTCTGTGCGTCATTATTCAAAAGGAACTGAATACTGACCATAGACTGTATATAAAAAGGTACTGACATGGGCCTATGCCATGATGCAAATGCCGCTGTGACTTAGCGCAGCGGCATTGGTTTTGTTCCCCTTCTTCTGTTTCCCCAAGATAACGCTGATAAAAATCGCCAACAGAAGTGTAACCAACCCTGCCAACACTGAGCATTAAAGCTTCCGTTTTTTGTCTTGGTAGGGTAAGATGTCCAGGAAGAAGTGTGTGTTGAGGGAGGGTTACTGTTGTACATGAACGGCAAGTTGCCCATCAGCATCTTCAAAGAACCCACAGGTCACTAGTGTGTTTGACCAGTGTGGGGAGAAGGAGCAGTTTAACAATACAAGTTGTATTTATTGTTACATACAGTCATTATATTTCATTATAAGTTGTAACACAACAATTACATTATATATTTACAGTATATGTGTAACATTAAGTTGCTATTTCTTAGGCTAACAGCAGGCTAATTCTACAATTCTACAAATAATATAATATCAACTGTGAGTATACTTTTAAATGGCCTGATTTCAGGAGAAAACCCTGCTCTGTTTATTTGTACTGTGAGAATAAAGGGTGGTGTTTCATCCAGATTCAGATGAGGTTGTGGAAACACCATAAAATGCAGTTCCAAAATTAGGATGGTTTTATACTCTCTTTATGTAGTTGAAGCTTGTGTTGAGTATGATGGCCACTAGCATATTCTTATTGATAAGGCTGCTATTTATAGTGACATTGAATCAGGTACATCAGGTGTAGATGTTTTGAATGTTTTGATGTCTTATAATTCTGTAATTTGTTCTTTGTTTTCATTTTAAATTGCTTTGTTTGTCTTATGTGAAACCTTGTTATTTATCTTGGCCAGGACACGAAAAAAGAGATTTTTAAAATCTCAATGAGTCTTTTAGTCCTGATTAAATAAAGGTTTAAACATTAAAGGCGGAAGACTCTGGATAACACTGACTTGCATTCTTGCAGTGGATGCACTTTGCTCCTACTGTGAGGGAATCCATGTTACAGTATATGTCATGTGATCCTTTCAGGGCTAATAAGCTTTTAGGTGAAGGTGAATCATCTTGTCATTTAGACATGAGGCCCTGCTGCCAGAAGATGGAGATGTCACGTTGACCTTATAATACCAGTTCCTTGAAATGTTTTGCATGTTGTGCAAGTGGCCTCCTTAGCAGGCGCTGGGTTGTCAAAGCTGAGAGTAACGTCAACAAGATGATTTTTCATCAGACTGCTGCTCTGTTCGCATGGCCATTGGCTCTTGATCTTTTTGATGTAATAGACCAGCAGCTTCAACAATTTTGTACTGTTTGAATACACATTTCAGTAGCCTCAACTTAACTGAAAAGTTTCTGCTATGTCATGTTTCTACTCCACCACATCTCAGAGGCAAATATTGTGCTTAGTTAGTTAGTTATGTAATATTTCAACTTAATCATACAAAATAAAAGCAACAAAGAAATGAAGATGTAATATCATAGGTTAAAATAAGACTTTAGTGATCCCAGGGGTTACATTCACAGGCTAGGCCAGCAGATAAAGTATATGAAGTAGCTAACATTGGCAACATTATTATTGCATCCATAATTAAAATTGAATCATGCATTATTCTGAATTATAGGCCATTTTTCACAATGAGTACTTTATCTTTTGATACTTTAGAATATTTTGATGCCAGTACTTTTATACATATTTCAATGCAGGACTTTTACCTGTAACATAGTATTTCTACACTGTGGTGTTGCTGATAAGTTGGTTGGTTTTTCCTTTATGTGTTGCTCATTTTTACATATAATGGGTTTCGGATGCATGAAACATGGCTGTGCAGCATAATTGGTTTGGAAAAATATTCCGTTCCTTCTGCCTTTGCCCTGTTTGCTTTGTGTAGTCTCTTCTTTTTTTCTTCTTCTTCTTTTTATTAACCTGTCCTGCCCAGCAGCCTGGTATAGAGTATGATGAGCTGGATACCATATTGTGCCAGACAGATTTTGTAGTCTCTCCTTGAAGAAGCTTGGAGTTCAGAGCTTTGGGTCTTAAGGGAATTGACTGGCACTGCCATCTTTTGCTGAGATGTTATCAGTCTTACTCCCTCACTCTCATAAACATCATGTTCTAACTTTAACCAACGATGTTATTGCCAGGAAGGGCAGGTTGGGTGAGGTTAAGGATGGCCATAACTGTAAATGACTTTGGACTTGCAGTTGGCAAGAAGAGGACACAGGCAGTTATTGCTCTCTGCTCGCACCTCTGTTGACACTCCTCACAGCAACATGTTCATAAAAACCTGCGGGTGAAAAACAAATGTAGCTGGGGAACTCTGCAGATTTTTAATTTGCAGGAAACAATGCATTTACCTCCCTGAAAACAAACTTTATGGTGATCACATAATGTGAAACATTTGATAATATGTTGAACCGCAGTTTAAAAGTTAAATATTAACTTTCGAGAACTTTTCTTATGATTTGATTGCTGAGGTGCTGAGCGAGCGGTCAGTAGTTTGGCAGATGCACATAGTGTGTAATTGAAATTATTCACATAAATTCTTGGTAACATTGAGCCTTCTTGAACAACAGGTCTTTTTCACAGCAGACATTTTGACTTGTCACAATAGAAAAAGCACAGGTGTTACGAATAACAATAACAATTGCACTAAGTCATGACAATGAGTGTCAACATGAACAATACCAGGACCCTGAAACTGAAGCAAATTCAGTCATTGTTTCTTTTTTAATTTACACTTGTGCTACTGTGACATGTAAAAGAGATCTTTGCATATTTATCCCCCCTATAGCACCTCATTGTGTCTATTTTATAGAACCTTTTCACAAAGAAATACTTATTTTAACACCAGAAACACCAAAATAGTCATCCGTTCTGTCATTGTGTTACTTACTTTGAGAACCAGTCCATAAAGGCCTAATCAGTTCTTGACAATTCAAATTATGTACTCACACTTTTAAGTTCTAATCTATTCACATATGTAATTCAAGATTTTTACAATAAAAAAATAACAATTGTGTGTTTCTCAACTTATCATAATTGAAATGTTAGGCCTAATTTTACTCTTGTGATCGCAAACACAACAGCAAGAACTTGTTGTCAAGTTAATGTATTAAGAGACTTAATCCGTTAGAGAATGAGAGTATGTCCCAGTGTTCTGAAGACATTTGTTAATTTACAAACAAAAACATGTTTTCAGTGGTCAGAAATGCCAGCATAGTGTAGCCTAAAACAAAGAAAATATATTCATATTATTGTTGGTATTGATATTTTGTATTAATGTGTAAGGCCCAAATTGATTGAACAGTTGTGTTTCTATGGATCTATTTAAAGAAATCGGTGCTTGAACTACTTCAACTTACCTGTGTTTATCTTTAGGCAGTTTCGAGCCATTTTTCCACTGACGCCCATGATGATGCTGAAGTGGCGTAACAGTTTAGCTATGTGGGATTTCAGATATGCTACTGGGTCAAAGTCAACGTGGAGATAATAAAGTTTTATGGATTGCGGTGATGGGAATATAGCTCAGTTCTTTTTAAACTGTTTTAAGATTTTAGGACATTTCTTCAGGCTTACATTCCTGAGGTGATGTTTTAAAACACACATATGTATATTCCAGATGCTCCAAATTCATGTTACAGTCCTTTCAACCTCTTATTTCTTTGTCTGTTTAAGGGTTTACACCAAGATCTTATTATCTTACATCTTATGACGTCTGTGAATCAAAGGTCACGTCATCCTTCGTCCAACCCCATTTTTTCGGCCACGTAGTTTCCGATAACACCAAGTGTTGAATCACTTTCTCAAGGGACATTTTTAGACCGTAATTGCATCGGGGTTCATGGACACAACGTCTTCTGTGGTGTTGTGTGGACACCCTCTTGTTTTTATTGGGCCTGTGAAATCATGGTTGATGAAGTCTCAGGGTTGAATTACAACTGGTGGATCTGCCATAAAGTCACATAATGACTGACAAGGGATGTAATCATTGTCTCTGCTGTTAGTTATGGCCTCTATAAATAACCTCTGAGACTGAGGTGTACATAAGAAATTGTGCTCTTTTTTTCTTCTCTAGAAAGGCAAACAGTTGAACATTTTTTTCATTAATGACAACCAACAGTGTTGCAGCATTTCTGTTTTTACATGTTTTCAGTTATGGAGATTTAAGTTCAGCCAGGGAATATGTATATTAGGTAACATCTCATGGTGTTAGTGTGATGTGTTTGATATTGCACAATTGCAACAACAACCTCTTTCAGTAAACTCTGCTGATGACACTGCTTTACAGCTTCCTCCTTATTTTAAGACCTGGTATATTTCAACATAGTCTTGACTTGAGCTGACGTTTGTTCTTGATGTGGTTGCACCCAGGCACATTGGAAATGCAGTACACAAGCTGCCTACACCATTATTTTTCCTCATTAACTCCATAGTGCTAGAGGTCATTGCTTCCTTTTGCGTTTCTCCTCAACTGTGGCTTTAGACCCACTCCCACTGTGCTTTATGAACTGTTCTACAGAGGTTGTTACTCGATTGGTGTACATGTGACTGCTGTCTATAGGAAGTTTGGGTTTATTACATTAAGAATAAACATGTCTATATAAATCTTTGGTGAGAAGGCGGGAGGGATGTGAACAGGCGGAAATATTGTGTTAATACATTTGGTTCAACAATAGCTAAAAGAGGAGTTATGAGATTTAGAATAAGCTAAAACATTGAACAACATTAACTATATTAAATAACAATCATTTTAGTGTTGAAAACTGTGTGACTTCTGACCTGTCCTAGGCTCCAGCCAATGAATTGTATCAGGTTTGACTCATCAGGTTGGCCTCCAACAAAACAGTGTCTCTTTGTTGGCTTTTATAAAAAGCAGTGAGAATGTTATTTTACCAGTGTGGAATAGTCTTGATTCAGTAAGAGGTTGTAGTGGGCAGCTTCCAGGTGTGAATGTGATCAGGGCGTTCAAGCAAAAGAGAGGCTTCCTGTCAGTGAAACTTAATAAATAATAGTTAAAATCCTCACTGCTCTTCCCAAAGACCATTTGTCAAACAAACAGCATAGCCATCTTTTCTTTTCTTTGGATTTTCTCTGTATGAAATTTGTATGTGGTTATGTTGAAGCCTGACATCCCTGTTTTAGACTGGACTGGCCTTCATATAATATAACTCTTAGATAGGTGACATACTTTCTAGACATTAACCCAAAAAATACAATGACAGAGACAGATCTATGCCATGGAAGACTGATAAAAGACCCTAAAGTCTCCTTTTCTGGGAGGGAAATGCACTTTAGCACACAGTGCCGCCCTCGGAGGAGTGGCTAATGATTAAAACTGCAGTGAAGGACACCTTAGCCCTCACATCCAAGGTTTCAGGGCACTAAAGCTTCGTCCTGCTCAAAGCCCTCTCTGGCTTTCTTTCTTGTGGTGACGTTTTGTTGTTAACTTATTTTCCAATGGCTCGAGAATTCAAACTCCTCTCTGTCCTTTGGCTGGTTGCAGCCTGTTTTGGTAAGTCGCCTGATTATTCATATTAACTTTAAATCGTAAAAAAAATATATATATGTATGTATATATCCTTATAAATTATCACAAGTTTGATTATCAGGTAAACTTTATAATTGAGGGAAAATTCTTTTCTTTTGAATTCATTCTTAGTAACTGGAATTAGTTAGTTCCCAATTAATTAGTTCCCAATGTATTTTTCTGCTCCAGAACAAACCTAGGCATCATTGTCCTCTATTTTTTTCTTCACCTGCCGATAATCAACCGTTTAAAATGAAGGCACAGACCTAACAACCTTTTTTTCATCCCGTCATTGGATTGGTGTGCGCAACAGTTAAATGTGAATATTTAACTACTGTGTCGATTCAGACAATCTGATCTTACCTTGTGACCCAGTTGTTACCCTGCCTTCCTTTGGAAGTCTATTCTAATCAAGGAAGTGTCTTTGTTCCCCTTAGACCATCCAGTCTGGTTAATGCTTACATGAATGTTTGAAGCCTAAATGAGGTTTGAGTGAGTTTCATTCGGCAGGTAAAAGACCTGTTGTTTTTAGTTTTGGGGACTAATCAGTGAAAGGCTTTATTTGGCCCTTGTTGTGTATCAAATTTGTATACCCTAAAAGAAAATACATATAACAACACTTATTGTTGATGAGAGTCGACTCTAATAAATTGCTTCTTAATTTGACACTGAACTGAGACTCCTCTCTGAGAATCTTAATGTCTTCTAAATCCCTGTTCATACCACAGTGCAGATTTGTCTAGGATATTGTTTTTAGGCAGAACAATATGGGAATATTTTACTAATATTTTACTAATTCACTGCCTCAACCTCAGTGTATGTGACATCAGCTGACGTCACCATTTCATATTAATGCTGCTACGTTGCCACTTATCTAAGGATTACAATTTATAACATTTACATTTATAACAATTCCTTGTTGTCTAACTTGTTGACATTCTAACTTTGGCTGTAACCTAACACTTCAGCTGCAATCAGCAGGTTATAATTTACTAACTGCAGCATTGTGCTGGTTTATCTACAGCCATCTCAGGTGATGCAGTCAACAAAGTTTCTGCTACATCTGCACCATTAGGTCAGAGTACTACATCTATAGCTACGACAATAACAACAGCTGCTCCAAACACTACATCTGCACCATCAGGTCAGAGTACTACATCTATAGCTACAACAATAACAACAGCTGCTCCAAACACTACATCTGCACCATCAGGTCAGAGTACTACATCTATAGCTACGACAATAACAACAGCTGCTCCAAACACTACATCTGCACCATCAGGTCAGAGTACTACATCTATAGCTACAACAATAACAACAGCTGCTCCAAACACTACATCTGCACCATCAGGTCAGAGTACTACATCTATAGCTACGACAACAAAAGCAACTCCAGCCACTACATCTGCACCATCAGGTCAGAATACTACATCTATAGCTGCTTCAACAACAACAGCAGGACAGACTACAACATCTACTGATGCTACAGCAACAGCAGGTCCAAGCACCACAACCGCAGCTGCTACAACAACAACAACAGTTCTTCCAACCACAAAGCCAGGTAATTCCTCACAAAACTCTGTTTCCAAGTTGTCAATGTTATAAGCTGCCATCTTTATACTGTAAATGCTGACATTGACATGCGTGTGTGTGTGTTTTCCCCTTTGACTTAAAGACCCTTGTGCAGTCAACCCATGTGGTGATGGGAGCACCTGTGAGCCCCGTGCCAATCAAACATTTGCATGCTTGTGTCTGGCTGGTGATTTCTACAATGAACTGAGCAAACGTTGTGAGATTTGTAAGTACCACCACTGTGAGGGTGTTATTTCTTGTCATTTCTAGGATCCATGACTGTAGTAGATGTAATTAATATGTAATTTGTAAAAACAAAACAAAAAACAACAACTGAAGAACAACTAGTTGGGGTTTTCTTGGGGGTATATCCGGGACTAGATTTAGTACAGGAACAGTTACTTCCTGAAGTCCTGTCATACCGTGAGGTTGCCCGGCAAGCAGGGGAGATTTCAGGATAGATGTTTGCCTTTGTTTCAACCTTGCTAAGCTAACTGGCTGTTGGCTGTAGCCTTATATTTATTAGACAGATATGAGAGTGGGATTTATCTTCTTATCGCTTGGCAAGAAAACATATTGGCAAATGGCATATTAAACAATTGAACTTTTGTTTTAAATAAAGTAATAAATAAATTGTTGCGATTCAACTTTGTAATGATGATATTTTCTTGTTTTAGCCAAAGTTTTCCCTGGACAACTAGTTCTGCAAAATTTAACATACAATAAAAATATGACTGACAAGACCTCACCAACATTTCAAGAGGCCTCGCAAACAATTATTGCCCAGGTAAGCAATCACATCTCTCCTCTGTAGGTGGCTTTTTAAAAACAAATTTAAAGGCTGGGCTTGGAATAAAGGCAGGTAATGCACAACCATTGCTAGTTTGTCTTTAATGACCCTCATCTACTTTGCTAGGAGGAGTGATACAGTATTTACTCATGATTTGCACACATTTCATTTTCCAGTAGATCTTCAAACCAACAGCTAAATTTGGCTGTTCAAATGATACATTAGTCTTCCTTTTTTGTGTCCTTTGGCATCTGATGCATGTGCTAATGATCGTATTATGTTGTTAAGCAAAATAATCCCAGGAGTAAAATTGATCTAAAAGGTCGGTGCATTTCCAATTAGATGATGGCCTGAACAAAATGATTTTTTGTTTTCCAAAACACAGCTGTCAGATGTTTTCAGGACACATTCTGGTTACTCTGGATCTACAGTGCTGGAACTACAGTAAGTTGCTGGGTGACAAAGTTTACCATCTGACTGTCCATCCGTCTGGAACCACACTGCTGCATACTTACAGCATATTGCACTTGATAATTGCAGAATATAATCATCTATAAGTGCCATTTGTGTCTGTATAGGCCCATAAAAAGAAGCAAAGCATGGTCAAGGTCAGAGAATGGGGTCGATGCATCTGTAGAGATCATCTTCAAACCAAATGCTAACATCACATCAGAGGCTGTTAAGAAAATGTTTGAAAATGCCACCATGTGTTCGGACTGCCCACTGAAAGGTGCAACTTTCAATGGTAAGTGTGTTACACCTATCTAGTAGTGTGTCGGATTTTTATATTTTTATAGTGTGATGGTGAGATTTGTCTTAATAATATGTAAACAAGACAGATGTGTTTCCAGGTATAACATTTTTGTTCTTAGATGTCACTACTCGGGCTGTGATATGTTTAATTTTAAAAGCTACACTCACCTTCGGGCTTTGTGGCCCAAGGATCACTTCAATTACTGTGATAAAAAAAGAAAGATTTATTATCATATATGATAAGCAGATTGGCATCAAAATGTTCGCTGTCTTTCTGTCAGAAAGTGTGGTTCAGTGTGCCTGCTGGTGCATTAACCAACAACAACACAGTGATGTTTTTTTTCTGTGAGCCCTAAGCTGTGTAGTCAGAGCCACTGCTACACCTGCTACACAACAAAGTTTTAGAAACTTTGTTTTAAAATACTGCCAAAGTCCTGGTGTTAAAATCTGATTACACATTTATTTCTAGGCTTTGTGTCATTACACATAGTTATCTTTGTACCGTGTACAGAAGGAATAATAATGACTTAATGATGATGGTATTTCTCAACTGCTATCAGCATTTCAGTCCACAGTTCATATCAAGTAGTTTTGAGCACATTTTGCATCACTGTACTTATCTGAGCTAGGTGTACTGAAACTTCTTCTTCTTTTGTTTCCTTCATTTAAAGAGGGAAAGCTGTGTGATAAGAATGCCTGTGATGTGAAAACTACAAACTGTGATTCAAAAGATGGATCTTTTAAGTGTTCCTGTAAGGAAGACTACATTAAGACGGACTTCAGTAGCAGAATTTGCGTTGGTAAGATCATTTAGTGAGTGGGAGAGTGTGTGTGTGTGTTTGTGTGTTATGTGATAACCTTTCTTTAACTAAAATCTGCCTCAACCTTTTCTTCTTTTGCAGCTTGTCCCAGTGGCCAAAAAGCCGAAGGTTCCATTTGTGTCAAGTAAGTACTTAAATGGCATAGCATGTTCTGATAATCAACAACATTTCATGTGAATCATTGTGAGTAGGGAAAAACGTAGAGCCTCTGTATATATGACCTGTGTTTGTAGAGAGCTTGGGTATAAATAAAACTATAAAATGAACTATTCTTCTTGTTTTTCAGTTGCCAATTTGGTTATTCTGGCTTGAACTGCAGTGAATGTGAGTATAGAATATTACAAAGGATTAATACAACAAGTCACTATTTGACAATAATTATACACAACTGTTGAGAACGCACATTTTAAAAAATCAATTTTGATTCTTTATGAGGGAAGGAAAGTAACTTACGCTACCGATTCATACAAATGTAACCATCTCCTCCAATGCTTTAACATTATCTCCCCAAATCAGGTTCATATTCAATTCATGTACATTTCAACACATTAGACAGAACATTTATATTCCTTTAATATCAGTGTATGAGAGGTAAAATATTGTTTAACATACTGTTTGGCTTTTCAGTTTGATGAAGTTAAGCTAGGGACTCCTGGGCTGCAGAGGGAGTCTGCAAAACTTCTTTTACTACAGGATGTCTGTCGGTATATAATTATATTTATACTGTTTGTTTTTTAACAGACCTTGGACCATGATTTCCATGCTGAAATAGCTTTGCGCACAACAATTACAATGAAACATTGACAATGAAATTCTTAGTTCTTGGGGTCTCTCAAATGTTGAAAAAAAAGTAAGCAAAAAAATAAAGAAAGAATCTAAGACAGAAAATAGGGCAGAAGTTAAAAAATAGGATATATATATATATACACCTGAATAGAGGGAAAGGAATCTGTTTGTCTTCTGTTTTGAAATACTGACTCAATTTACATCACTTGAGGCAATTTATTTCATGCTGGCACAAAAGGCTTTAAAACATACATACAACATTACAACATATCACATGAGACCAACAGACGTTGATGTATACAATCTGTGGAGTTCATTACTATTACTTTGATTTGCCTTTATTGGGAAAAATTTTATATGTTTTGTATCATTGGAAAGTTGTTATTAAAGTTATTTCAATAGTGTAGTCTTAATCCTGTCATTGTGTTTTGTTAGCGTGGCAGCTGGTGCTGGTAATCGTTGGCTCTGTGCTCGGGGGGCTGCTGCTCATCACACTCATTCTTCTGCCTGTGGTGGCAAGCATGTGAGTTTCTCATCCATTCATTCACCAACTTTCAATCATTCATTATTGCCTCTGCCATGTATTTTCCATTTTTCTCTCACTCTACATATTAACCTTAATGTAACCCGGCAATTATAAACCTTTTTTATTATGCATGGTGATTTTAATTTGCCATCTTATTTTACTAACACAAACACATTTCTAAAATACTTCAGAGAAAATTCTATTTGCAAAGGAATTAAAGATTATAATACAGTAATACAAATAAGAAAAATAATAATAATAATAATAATAATAATCTTTATTTGTAGAGCACTTTTCAAAAACCAGTTACAAAGTGCTTTAACAAGTGTAAAGACAATAATACCCAAGAGACAATAATACAAAAACAATACAAGATAAAAGCATGAAAACATTGAAAAGACTAAAATACACGTTTAAGATAAATATAAAATTAGTAAAATACAATAAAAGGGATAAAATAAAGTCAAATAAGATCGGGAAAGGCTCTCCTATAAAAGTATGTTTTAAGAACGGACTTAAAAGAGTTCACTGACTCAGCCGACCTGATTTACTCGGGCAGGCTGTTCCAGAGCCTCGGGGCCCTGACAGCAAACGCTCTGTCCCCTTTAGTTTTCAGTCGAGACTCTGGAACAGACAACAGACCTCTGCCCGAGGATCTCAAGGTACGTGCTGGTGCGTATGGGACTAAAAGGTCAGAAATATAACAAGGCGAGAGGCCATGAAGAGCTTTAAAAGTGATCAATAGAATTTTAAAGTCAATTCTAAAACATACTGGGAGCCAGTGTAATGAAGCTAAAATAGAGGTAATGTGGTCATATTTCTTTGTTCTGGTTAAAAGCTTGGCAGCTGAGTTCTGGACAGTCTGGAGTCAATCAATAGATTTTTGGGTTAAACAAGTGAAAAGGCTGTTGAAATAATCCAGGCGTGATGAGATGAAGGCATGTAAAGTGGTCTTGGTGTCCTTAAAAGTTAACATAGATCGAATTTGAGCTATTTTTCTAAGTTGATAAAAACATATTTGAACAAGCTTTGTGGTGTGCTGCTCAAAATTTAAATTACTATCAAACCAAACACCAAGGTTCTTTGCCACAGGCTTAATGTGATTTACTAGGGAACCAGCAGATGGCAGTATTTGTTTTGCCATCTGCTGGGACCCGATGACCAGGATTTCTGTTTTGTCTGAGTTCAGCTGGAGGAAATTATTTGACATCCATTTTTTAACTTCACAAAGGCAGTTAAGTGAACTCAGCATTCCAGGATCTGTGGATCTGATGGGCAAGTATATTTGTGTGTCATCAGCATAAATATGAAAAGAAATGCCATGTTTATGGATAATATGTCCAAGGGGAAGCAGATACAAGGAAAACAAAATGGGTCCTAAGACCGACCCCTGAGGCACACCATATTTGACTGGACAGAACGAAGAGACATAGTTGTTTACAGACACGCAAAACTTCCTATTTGACAGGTAGGATGAAAACCATTCTAGGGCAGTACCAGAGATCCCCACCCAGTGCCTCAGTCTGTCTGACATGATGTTGTTATCAATGGTGTCAAAAGCATCGCTATGGTCCAGGAGTACCAGGATCGAGCACATACCTTCATCAGCAGACATTAAAAGGTCATTGGTGACTTTAAGCAGAGCCTCGTCTCAGTCTCAGTGCTGTGGTACTTCCTGAAACCAGATTGAAACTTTTCAAATATTTTGTTATTTTCCAGTACAGTGAGCAGCTGTTTGGACACAATTCTTTCTAGAATCTTTGCAATAAAAGGCAGTTTTGAAATTGGTCTAAAATTTTTGTGGGAGGGACGGATCTAAACCAGGTTTCTTTAAAAGTGGGTTCACGCAAGCTGTTTTAAAATAATCAGGGACACAACCAGTAGATAGGGAGCTGTTGAAAACAGAGATCAAATGGGGCCCAACAGAATCTATTACTTTCAGTAAAGACTTTGTAGGTATTACATCAAGTGGACTGGAGGACTCTCATTTGTGATACTGTTTGTAAAAGCTCAGACAAGTCGATGGAATAAAACTGGTTAAAACTCTCTTGTTGCTGGTGAGGAACCTCTGAGTAAGAGGCCGTGGGGGTAATAGAGGCTCTGATTGACACCACCTTATTGGTAAAATAAGATAAAAACAATTCACAGTCATCATTACTTCCAGCTGAGGCACAAGGAGGGGTTGGGTTTACCAGCTGATCCACAGTCTTAAACAGAAACCTGGGATTGTGTTTATGTGTAGTAATGAGTTCAGAAAAATAGTGTGTTCTCGCATCCTTAACCATGTTATTGTAGTTAATTAATAAATCCTTCAGACTGAGGTAATGGACTTGGAGACTGGATTTTTTCCATCTGCGCTCTGCTTTCCTGCATTCCCTTTTTAGGCTGCGAATGCTGTCATTTATCCAGGGTTGCTTACTAGCTTTAGACGTAGGCCTAACCTTTAGAGGAGCAGTAATATTTAGTGACGACAAGCAGATATGATTGAAGTGATCGACCAGATTGTTGGTGTTGGAATCAGACAGGTGTTGGCTTTGGCTCTGAAGGAATGCGCAAAACTTTGAAACACTTTGTTCATTAAAGATGCGAGAACACACGGAGCTTGGTGAGGCGGCATGAGTAACAGGCGAATCACAGCTAAAAACAATACATCTGTGGTCAGATATGGTCATGTCCACCAATTTCACAGAGGAAATGCTGACACCCAGGGTAAAAACCAAGTCCAGTGTATGACCACGGTTATGTGTTTGCCCTTTGACATGTTGTTTGAAGTTAAAAGAAGTGGCCATATTTAAAAAGTCAGTTGCATTAACATTGTTGGGGTCATCAACATGAATATTAAAATCGCCACAAAGAACAACTCTGTCATAATTTAAAACCAGAGAAGATAAAAATTCAGGAAGTTCTGATTAAAATCTTCCAGGCGGTTTTAGGGGGCGATAAATTATAACAAATATGATAGGTTGCAGCCCTCCAAGTTTAGAGTGAGAACTTCAAAGGAGTTAAATTCATCACAGCGTACTTGATGACATTTTAAATTTTTCCTATACACGCTCACTATCCCACCACCACAACAACTGACCCTCGGTTGACTAAAACAATCATATTGAGGCGGACACAGTTCAGCTAGCTGGCTATAGTCATTCATTTGCAACCATGATTCAGTTAAAAACATAAAATCTAGATTTGCAGACAAGATAAAATCATTTAAGATAAAAGTCTTACTTGAAAGTGATCTCACATTGAAGAGAGCTATTTTAAATGAGTTTGTTCTAAGTGCTGGAGTTGGTGCAGTTGTCCTAATCCTTAAGAGATTACTATTATTTCTGTGTGGGATGTGCACATTTCTGGTCTATGCGTGATGATGACAGGAATAGAAGTCTGCGGAACGGCGCTGGGAGCAGACGGCTTTACATGCCAGCAGGTGGAGACAGTTGTTTGTGGCAGTGAGCCAGAGATCTGTTCAGTGAGCGGTTGTGTGTCCAGGTGTGCTGCATGAATGATTAGTCATTCATGTAAGTCATGTGTGGACAGTAATATATGCATTTATCTTTTTTTAGGTGCTCAAAGAAGAGCTCTAAGAAGAACAAAAATGCAGACATTGGGAAGTCTTATGTCAGCAACTCTCCTGCCAAGGCCCCGTTGGTTAACCGCGGCTACGACAATAACCAGGCAGCCTCACTTAATGGGTCAGCCTATGCTAGTGCTGGGGTGCCTAGAATCCCACGGGCCACAACCACCAGCTGGGACAGCAAGACCAACCTGGAGATGACTCCGAGCAACAGCCGACAAAACCTGGTCCCTGCGGGGAGAAACTCGGTGAGTATTCCTCTGTTTGATGTAAATGTACATGCTTGGTTTTTCAATACACTCATAAAGAAATTCCCTTTTCATTGTAGAGGCTTTATGAAGAAACAGATGACGTGAACCCATATGCTCAGGCTCGAACCCAGAGCAGCCTCTACGGTCAGAATCGACCTCAGATCAACCCGTATGCTTCGAGTCAAGGCCATACCAACCCTTACTACATGCATGGCAATGGAAGACAGTTTGATTAATGAGGAACCATGAAGGTTCATCCTACAATGACATTTTCCCAGATCAAAAACATGTTTAAGTTTCATTGGAAACACCTTAGAAATCTTTTTTTCCTCTATTTTTACACCCAAATATATGTACACTGTTAATATCACATGATGGTAAAAGTTAAACAGAAGCACAGTGGTTACATAGGTCTTGTCAAATTGCTGAAGAAATGTGCATTAATGAATATTACTCTAACGTATGGCAGTTATGTCTTTTCACCACACTGACAGAGTGAACTCTATTCCGACAAATTATAAGCTGTCATGAATCATTCCTGTCTTTGAATGAATCATCATCTTTGTAAAGTTTTATTGTCAGTGGATTCTCAATAATTTTATTGTCTATCAATTAAAATATGAACTTTATATTTAACAGAAATATTTAACAGAAATTGATACTCAGATCAGGCTGAGACCCAGAAATGAGGAGCAGCCTTGTATCATTCTCTTGTCTCACTCATCGATGAATTACAAATAATCCATTTGTACATTAAATGTTTTAGGTTTATGATGATGAGTCACAGGCTTATGTTTAAGTTGGAGTTTTTCCTCCAAATCAGGGCATGTTGGTCTCTATATATTTCAGGATAATTTGTGTAAAATGTTTACTACAGTGAAATTGTTAGATGTTCTGTTTTGTATAAGTGAGAGAATATTTTGTTTATTTTTAACCCCTTTCATATCTGATTGATACCAAGCTGTTATTCAACATGAATAAAACAACAGCATTTAAAAGTATATGACCTCTTATTGTATTGTATCAGTTTTCATTTGTCACATATAATATAATATTTAATAAATTGTAACCTTAAATGTTTAAATACATTAAACCCTATTTCAAAATAAAGGACTTTCCACTACTACTTCTACAAAATTTTCATGGATTTTTTTTACGGGGGAAAATAATAACTGAGAATTCAGGTCAGTTTGCTGGTTCAATTTTATCATTTAGTTATATATGTTGCACTGTATGTGTCGGTGATTGCAGTGTGCTGTCTACCCAACCATAGTGTATGTTTTGGGACAACCACTGGAGGGGGCCAAAGTTTTACTAACACAAGTGCATTTACAATGGTTCAGGTGTCTAAACCATGTGTGTCTCCATAACATGCAAGAACACAGAAACAGTGACTACAAGGCATGCATAGCAAGTGTATCAGTCAGAAAAACACATGATTTATAGCTTACAGTGACTGAGAAGGCATTAATGTAAGGGACCGACAATCTGTGTTGTGGTAAAGTAAACATCTGATTAGTCACTATTCTGCTGAGGAGGACGCGACTGTCACTCATGCATCGTTTGCCACTAGTACATATTCCAGAAGAACAGTGACCTTCTTGTTTTTACCACAGAGCAATATTCCTTTGTGCTATAAAGATTTGCTGTGACAAGGTAAAATGTTACAGTAAGCATTGTAAAATACAATAAAGAAGCCAGTAAAAGCTACCAGTAATCATTAACTGCAAACATGATAATATTTTAATAATGCGGCAGTGATTTGAAATCATACCAAACACAGTCAATTATTATTTTAATTATTTTGCTCAAACAAGGTAGAAATCCTCAATTATCCATCTGTATACATTTAATAAAGTAATTATGAACCTGTTCGTGCAGAAAATGTCAATATCACATTTACATGAAAAATTTAATCAATGTATAAGGTAATATCTCTGCAATGCAAACCAATACGAAACCACCACAATAGCCTGTACCCCACAAATTCCCTGTATGCAATTACAAAGTCCTATCAATAATATTTATTGCAGGGGTATTGTATTTCATCATACCATATTTTTATTTATAATACCATATTTATTTGCCATACTACACCTGCATGAATACCACATTTACAACTATAAAAGATTCAGATTTAAATTGGGTTCCTTAAAGTCCTTTATAGAATGTAAAGAACTGATGAAAAGTTGTGAAAAACACTCATGATCACATTTAAATTAAACCTGAAATATACTGTCTGCTACAATGGGTTTTTCTTTGAGATATTAAGTAAATAAAGTATGACACTTGTGCTGTAGTATGTTTGTATTTTGCAAATCGGTGCAGAATGATTTTTAATGCATCTATCTATTACCAGGAACTATAGAGTCTTATTAACCCTGGTTTCAGCCACAGTGTTAAAATCCTGCTACAGTGTTACTGCAATGAATTGTTACTTTTTCTTGCTGATGTAGATAACACACCAACATGTAAAAGTTAATATCAGATGATGTTTCTGTGAAAGACAAACCATAAAAATCTGTATCACGCCATGTCATATTACTGCGCTGCTGGTTGCTCTGGATTATAAATCGCAAATGCAGCATCTCTGAGCAGATGACTCAGATGAGCTGAAGTGTCGTGAATATTACAACCAATCATTGGAAACACAGACAGTACCAAGCAAAATGATTATAAAAACCCAGTGTTTCTACCTTTTAACTGGGAAAATGACGTTTGGCAACATAAAACGCAAAAGAGAGAAAAATGGAACTAAAACCAAGCCTGAACACTACCTACATGGCTCTTTTCTTTGGGAAGATGTTGCCTATTGACACACTTTGGGTGGTCTATGAACAAGAGGAACCCCAAATAAAATGTTCTGAAACTTGGCTCAAAGTAGAGCGTGCAAACATTTATATCATTCAGAAGCTTAAGGAACATCACAGAGGACATGAAAACTGTCTGGTCATGTGCAGTAGTGAAGAGTAAAACCACTAGGTTGCCACTTCATCTCATTGTAAAACTTAAGCCATTCAATTAGAAAATGCATGAAGTCCAAATTAAACTAAAAATGTGTAAATAAACTTTACGCCACAATTCAAACTTCTCTAATGTAAACAAATTTATACTTGAGATGAGAAAACAATAGTCCCAGACTTTATGAGATATTTCCTTTTAGTTGGTTAGTAGAAAACAGATATATGTAGAACAAGGTTTTTTCTGTGATTTCTAGATGTTTTTTTGTTCATGCCTGTGGTGTAGCCTGACCAGGCGGTAGGTAGGCAGACTCAAACATCATATGTTCCCATAGGTGATTTTCTTATTTACAGTGGTCTGCAGTACACGGATAACTCAACAAACAAAAGGATCTATAATCACTAAATATGTCACCAAATGTTGTGACAGTTGACAATCATTGCCCTTTAAAGCATGTTGACATCAGTGCAATTCCTAAAACATTTCATTTTGAAACAAAACCCACTCATACAGACCTGCAGCTCAGACCAGTTTGCCTGCCAGGAGGGCCAGTGTATCCCCAGCAAATACAGATGTGACCATGGATAGGACTGCGTGGACAATTCTGACAAGAACAACTGCAGTGAGACTTTTACATCCACAGTGAACTTACAATACTAATAATATCAGATATTTTTGTTTACCCTTATAATGATCTAATAATAGAAGGGTTTCGGTGGGGATGATAACGGCAGTGAGTAGATGAGATAAGCAGCAAACACCGGTGTTCAAAAATATATTGGCTTTCTGTACAAAATAATTGCTTAGGATGATATAAGAGGAAGAGCTGTAGTTCCTGTATCTGAACAAGCCTACAGAACATTCACTCAGATAAAATTAGATTAATTGTTTACATTGAAATTAGTTCATAGCCGTCATGGTGTAGAAAGGGATACTGAAAAATTATGTCTGCTGCAAAATAAAACATGTTGTGGACCATGGACATAAGATTAACACTAGAGTTAAGTTATTCTATACATTATCAGACCCCATCTTAACACAGAATATTCACCGGAAGTGACTTGCTTTATATTCAATAATGTTATTTTAAAAATGAAAATGTATTATTACTAATAATAATAATGATTATTATTATATTATTATTATGTATATTAATCTTATGTTCCATTATATTTTCCATGAGAAGACATCTTTTTCTTTTGTTGGAGTTGAAGGTAGAATGTCACTTCCGGCCGCCATCTTTGTTTGATTTAAAATTAATCGCAACCGAAAGGTCTGCGTTATAGAGCGGTAGACTGAATATTTTTTATTGCAGTAGGATAAAAGAATGGTTGAAGAATCTGGAAACATCTTCAAAACAGCCGTAAGTGTTATCAAAAGATCTTAGGGTTTTTTTGATAAATTTTACATTTATTTATCTATGAAGGTAATTTGAATGTAAAGTTAGCTAACGTTAAGGTGTGTTCACCTTTATTCACGCGAGTTTGACCACTGGACATTTTGAGTGTTCACACAGCGAATAAACACAACCCAACCCCTATGCATGTTCCTGACTAATGTGGCACCATTTAAAAGGGACATAAACAGTCTTTCCAGTGTTGTTAGATTTATTGCCAAAACGCATAGAAATAATCTACCGAACACAAAGTTCCTTGCTTTTTGTGCTAAGTTTATTTTGGGGACTACTGAATGATACATTTCATGGGGTTTTTGTCAAAGTGGATACTGTAGTTTTAGAAAGTACACATTCTGGCACATCATCAAAATAGAAAACTGTTAATAACTTAAGAATAAAATGTGTAAATATTTCTAATTCATAGGATGATTTATAACATAATCCATGGATTTCTATGGTTTTTAGTAAGTAACTCTCGAAAGTAACTAAAGTATAATTTTTTATATCCTTTTTATTTAACTTAAGTTTTAACTTAAGTTTTATGTGGGTTAAGGATTTTAGTCATCCGACATGGATTTTAAGCTAGATGACCGTAAAAACGCCATCAACGCTACTGACCACAACAAAGCTCCGGTGAGATAACTCTGCCCCATGAGGACTGCACACTCGTTAAGAAAGCGAACAAGAAGATTGCTGACCTTATGGAAGACATCCGACGACTTTCAGAGGAACTCAAAGAGAAAGAGTCCCAGCTGATGGATGTGGCTTCAGTACAAGCCAAACAGATTGTTTCTCTTAGCGCAACCGCTAACATCCAGGACACCATGCTATGGGACCCCTCTACCCTTCCAAGGCTTTCCTCCTGCTCGACTCCGAAGCATCAGTCAACCTGGGCTGAAGTGGTGGTCCGTGGCTGCAAGAGAGACTCGGACGGGGCTGCCTCTCCTCCGCACATCGGCCTCTCCAACCGCTATGCAGCCCTGTCTGACGACACTCCGGTCCATCCAGCTGATGCACCTGCGGCTTCGAGTCTCCCTGATACGGATCTCTTTCGGCGGACAGTGCTGGCCGACACTGTTGCATCTCCTCTACCGGCTACACCTCCCACACTGGCGGCCCAGCTGATCACCGTTTGCCGCCAGTGTGGGAGGTGAAGCCGGTAGAGGAGATGCAACAGTCATCCCCTGAGCCTGATCGGTAGCCGTCATCCCGGTCAAAAACCTCCGCTTCCCGACGTAGGATCCTGAAGGAGGCTGTGATCAGACGCTCTGGAGGCCGTATCTACCCTGCACCGTCGTGTAGCCCTTCTCTCAGGTCTGTTACTGCTGCTCCAACACAACCCTCGGCAGCTCACACACATCCTCATTCCGCAGGCAGTGTTGAAGCAGATTCTGCTCAGTCCTACTCTGGAACCCCACAACCGGCATCTCCTCGTCCCCTTATCTCCCCAAACAAAATAATAATTGGTGATTCCATAACCAGAAACATCCGTTTCTTTAACGCTACCACTCACTGCTTCATCGGTGCCACCACGGCTGACATTTAAAAAAAACTCCAGGACCTAATGTCGTCGCTCCCGTCCTCCATCACAGGAGTGATAGTCCATGTGGGAACAAATGACACAGCTCTTCAGCAGTCTGAGCTGACAAAATCAGATTTTAACGGTCTTTTTAACTTTTTAAAGCAGTGTAGAAAGTCCGTTTTTATCTCTGGTCCCATTCCCACAATTGGTCGCGGTGCTGGCCGCTTCAGTAGACTCCTTGGCCTCC